AATTTAAAATTTATATTATGACAACATTGTTAAGTAATATGTAAGTATTCGTCTCAGGGATCATGTATTTGACTAAAAGATTCTAGTAAATTTGCCGAAAGCTTATAAAATTATACTAGCAAATTATTATAAGCAAATATAGTTTTTATTATAATTTTCTATGTTATTTAATGTTAATTTGAAAATGTGTTTTTATTAATGAGTTAGCATTAAATAATCATTAACTTCTGTATATATTTCTAGGGATTTTAAAGATGATATATAATAAAGAAAGTGCCGATATAATATTAAAATTATAATTAATAATAATAGATAAGCATAAGCTAGTATTTATTTATCAAATATCCATGAATAAAAGTTTGTAATCCATTAGACGATGTATTGTAATGCACAATTATGTACATTTTATACAATTATTACATATTTTTCTAATATTCCAAGGAAGAAATAATTTTAGATTCTAGTTATAATGATGACATTTGAATGAATATTCAACGGCTCATTTCGATAATGCGAATTTTTATTATAAAATTATGCACTGCTGAAATATATCAATTTCCAGCGACTGTTGTTTGTAAAATCAAATACCAACAACTGTCCAATATTTTTCAAGGAATATTACGATATCCAACCGAGGCCCAATACTTCTTGGATCTCTCATTTCAATATTTTGTCAGTGTTATTTGTTTTTAGCTGCTATTTCTTTAAATTTGTAAAATTTGGTTTGTTGTTCTTTTTTTTTTTTTATTTTTTTTTTTAAATTAAACGATGCGTATAGTATGTTTTTACTTTTTATTATATTAAATATAACGAGAAAGCTAAATCAAGTTTGTGATATCAGAAAATCAATATACACACATTGAATGCCAACTTTAATGTGCACTCAAATGTATCATCACATTTCGATATTATGATTATCTGATTCCAAATTTAATTTTAATCCAACTATGTTTTACCATGTAAATTACTCTTGGATATGTACTAACAGTAACAGTGAATTTTTATAAATACAATTTTGCTTTTATTAGTCTTTATAAAAAAAAATTAAAAAAAAAAAAAAAAAAAAATATATATATATATATATATATATATATATATATATATACACATATACAATACATGAACATCAATTTTTAAGCAATAAATAAATTATCTTTCGTTGTGACAAATACAAGAAAGCTTCTGAAAATATATGTAATTATTTATATTTCCAAAAGTGCTCTTTTACGTAATAATTAAATTACATTTGACCGATAAACAAAAGTCTATTATTATTTACAATAACGGCTTGTTGAGCAACACGTTAATTCGCCAATGCAAATAACACGCAATTCTCGAATTATTATTAATTCTTAATCGTGATGCGCAAGATAAGGTTAAAACAACATGACATTGCTCAAGCTGTAGTTTTCGGTTTGTCCGACATTTCAGCGACATTTTCTCTCCTTATGGCTTTTCGATTCGAATAAAAAAAAAAAAAAAAAAAAAAAAAAAAAACGATAATTATTTAATACGTCGCTATCGGCTTTTCATTTACGACCTAAAAAACCAAAAATATTTCACCGCGACGAATGAAGGACGTAAGGTGAGACGAACGATGGTTAAAAGCATTTTTTGATTCCCCCTAAGTAATTAATTTCACAGGGCTATCGATGATAGATATCGTCTCGTCTTTGCCCACCGCCGACCTACCGCCAAACCTCTTGCGTAATCGTGCGATTTTTGCAAGTTTTGGGAAATACGGGACAGGCGTGCGTCAAACGACCTAAGCTAAATATGAAATACGAGAGTAGTAAAGAGGAAAGATAAAAAAATGAAAGACGGAGGCCGCAGCCGATGCCGATGAACGGCGTGTGGCTATTGCAATGGAAAGGATATATGGCGGTGGTATATGGTGATATCGTTGTTGGGGTGTGTGAATGGTGGGATGGATGGATGGATGGGGGCGTGGATAACAAGGGGGCTACGTCTCGTTTGCCCTGTATGACTTTATGTATTTATATAAATATCCCCTGTAGGCATGCGTACTTGCCTTTCCTCTCTCTCTCTCTCTCTCTCTCTCTCTCTCTCTCTGTCTGTCTTTCTACATATCCTCCCTCCTGCCTTTCCCTCCCCCCCCCCTCCCCCATAGACCGTCGATTCGCTTGCGAGAGCGTAGGTAAACACGAGCATTACATAGCGGTGGACCTGCGGGAGCTTACGAGGATTGGGGGTGACGGAAAGGGTTAAAAGAGAGGGAGCACAAACATGCCCTTAGGTCCAAGTGCGACTACATTAGGCGAGCCATAACTTTGCCTGTTGAATTGTTGATTGTAGGGTGTAGGACGAAGCTGGTAAACATTTTTCGAATTTTGCGCGAGCATTTTCATTGCGTACAAGAGCTAGACTGCCGACATCGTTTTTCCCCTCTTAACTACGTTACATTGTCTTCTCTTTGGCAGTTCAATCAGCTAATTATTAATAAAATATCGTTTTTTGCGTACAGCGGGACTGCAATCTTTTTATTAATGTCCTTGACGCGCGAGTTGTCAATTTAACATTAGGAGCGCAATGGATTTGACATTAATCCATCTGTTATTTAAGGGACGTGGTCGGAGGATGTACGAATGTACGAATTGCGCACGAGTTCGATGGTTCGATGGTTATCGAGTTATGTAAAAGGTGCATATAAATAAAGTCACGGAGATCGTGGATGATTAATAAATGAGACTTGAGCAAGGGGGTTCGGGCTTAATTGGTATGCGATATTTTTCAAAGACGATGGCCCGATCAATACTTGTCCGTGCTGGAGTCAGTGGCCATTTTAAAAATCATTCGATCCTGCGACTTATTATTATTATTCTCATAATTGTTTATCTTGACGTGTAATTTGCCCGAATATCCTTGTGAGTGAACTCTAATCGATTTTGCTCTCAAAGTCATAAATTGTCGCGATAATATTAAGACGGATTAAATTGGCAATATGAAATTTGTTATTAAACATTGGCGATTTATCGCGACTGCTAATGCAAAGTAAGTATAATGCCAGTCGTTATGACTGCGCTCGGCAACTTTAGGGCCGATTTACTTTCAATTTTTTTCTTCCTATTATCGAATCAGCCGTTGTACCTTTCCACTCCTTCTTACGCTCCATCTCCAAATGCTAAATTCTAACGCTACGAGTGCTAACGCTGCGTTAGCTATAAACAAAGTATCTCAACAAATGCAGATGATGCGATTATTTATTTATATTTTTCTTTTTCTTTTCTTCTTTTGTTTTGTTTGTTTATTTTTAAATTTTAAACTAGAATCAATTAATCAATTAAAAAGAAAATAAATTAAAACATTAAAGAACACGTAGCTGCCAAGTGTTTGCAATGCCGATCTTTATCTCTGACTTGAAAAAAAGAAAAAGCCAAGGTACATGATGTCATGCGGAAGAAGCGCGCTGCATTATTGTTTATAAAGGCGAGAGAGAGAGAGAGAGAGAGAGAGAGAGAGAGAGAGAGAGAGAGGAAAAAGAGGAAAAGAAACTTGGACAAAGGTCAGTGGTACTGGCAAGGCAAAAGCTGTGCAAATCCGTGATTGCTGGTAAGTAGTACAGGCGCGGATTTATACGACGGCACGCGCGCGCGCGCATACGCGGCGAACACGCACTGGCGCGTGCTTATATTGCATACATGCCAAAGCTTTTCTGGCACTTTCAAATACGCGGAAGTAAGAGAATAAGAAAACTTTGATGTGCACGTCTTTGGGCGCGAGCTAACATGACTCATCGCCATTGCGATTTTGCGGAGAAGTCGTCGAGATCAGCACGCACTTAGGAATAGAAAAGAGTGAAAGAGAGGGGGAGGGGAGAGGCGAGGCAGTCAGTGGTGGAAAAAGAATATATAGTACGATCGCGGTTGAGAAAGAGTCGAGGAGTAAAAGCGGAGGCCAGCCGGTGAAAGTGAAAGTGAGACGGGAATAGGCGCAAGCCAGAGAGTGAGAGAGAGCCTGCGTGCGTGCGTGCGTGCGTACGAGGGAAGAGAGAGAAGGAGAGAAGGTGCGTGTAGGTACGCGATTGTGTTGTATGTATTTGCGGGAGGGCGGTAGGGTGACAGAGGGAGTGAGTGAGCGAGTGAGCGAATGAGTGAGATAGATAGATAGAGAGAGAGAGAGAGAGAGAGAGACTGGGTCGTACCTTGAGCTCGCGGGGACCTAACCTAAAAATAAAGCTCTTACTCGATTCGTACTATTATTGCTGCCACCGCTGCTGCTACTACTGTTGCTGCTACCTTTGCTACTGCTGATATTGCTATTATTACTCTCATTACTGCGATTACTACTTACTGCTGCTATTACTACTACTATCACCATTACGAATACTAGCACTACTACTACTACTATTATTACAACGACAACTACTACTACTATTGCTACTACTACTACTACTACTACTACCACTAATAATAATAATAATTACAATAATAATAATAATAACAATAATAATAATAATAATAATAATAATAATAATAATAATAATACCTCTACCACTACCACTACCACTACTACTCATCTACCACTAGCGCTATCACTACCGCTATCACTACCACCTCCACTTCCACCTCCACCACTACTACCGCTAATACTACTACTATTCTGCTATTACCGCTACAAACACTATTAATACTATTGCCGCTACTAACGGCACTACTACTAAAACGACTATTAAATACTACCACTACCACTACCACTATCGCTATCGCTATCGCTACACTGCACTGTACAACACTTCGTTACTCCGTGCTGGCGGGGGTGTTGGTGCCGCACGCGCGCTCTCATTAATTTTCTCCACCTTGCGAGCAGTCTTTGCTGATATTGTGTGCCTGCGCCCGCCTCCTTGGCGATAAAAAAAAAAACGATAAGTAGCGACGGAGGGCAATCGTGATCGTCGGTGTTGTCGCCAAGGATATGCTGCTCAGGTGTCGTAAATCGTTGTTCCTCGGCGAATGACATAATCGTACGACGGGCACACGACCATGGAGAACCTCGTGCAGCGGGGCGAGACCTGGAGCGGTGAGGCAGGTGCAGCAGGAAAAGAACAGCGCCTCCGAGTAAGAGCGGCTCCAGAGCACCAGCTCCGAGGAGACGTCGGCCCGTCGTAAAAGCTGGAACGAGCTTAGGGGTGTCGTCAGCGATCTGCGCAGGAGAATGTCTGGCATGTCGGCTGGCTCGGTACCGGGTTCCATCACCTTCAGGTCCCTACCAGATGGAAGGTTATTAGCACGGCCAATTTTTTCTATTAACGATGATGTATTTAATTTAACGGAGCCTCATCGGAGCACCAGCACCACCTTCTATAACGTTTAAAAGGACGACACGACACGACACGACACGACACGACACGACATTGCATTGCATTGCATTGCATTTCATTGCATCGCGACCGTCGGCAGGCATTTGCTCGCTTAACCATTGAATTTCAATTCATTTAACATGCAATATTCAATTAGCGTATTATTGTTATTGGAACGAAAATTCATTGCATTTATGAAAAAGTTATGAAAAATTTCTTTTACCACCTGTTGTTTTGCAATGCTCCTTCAATGTTTATCAATCACATTTTCATTTGCACAAATTTGCTCACTACGCATTCAAACTAATATTATCTATTATAAAAATAATGCATTTATGAAATTCGACAAAGGACAGGTAATATGTTACATTGCATTGTTTAATAGTATTGTAAATATGCTGAGCAGCGAAGGTTAATATATAAGAATTAGCTTTTAATTATTATATTGTTTTTCAGGATAAGAATATATTTTCTGAGTACACCGACTAATGGCTGGGAGACCACTCTGTTATACGTAGATGTAGCGCATTCTGATCATATAAATGGTTATCGCTTACAGTGGCAGCCCGTTATCGAAGCTAATTTTCAAAGGTTTGTATTGTCGTTAAAATAAAGTTGTGAAACTGCTTTTATTATGTCTCTGATTGTTTTAGTATTTCCAGTGCCAATCAGTTGTCGAAAGAGGAGCAATTGCTTTGGGAGAGGAAAAGACTAGCGACCTGGGGTATTACCAGTTATGAAATTCATCCGGAAAGTGGAAAGTTAGTTTTCCCAGCTGCGAGTAGCCTTTATCAATGCGTCGATACTGGCTTTATGGTAAATGTAATTAAATTTTTATCGATGCTGAACTTAGAATGGCATTTGGAATGTTCTCTCCTTTGTGTGCGTCTATGGATGAGATGACGAGTTTTTATGTTGAAACGAAAGCAGAGATTGAGAAAGCATAAAGCAATTTTCATCGCATTAGAAACGTGAATGAGCATGAAAACAGGTTATAACGCAACGAAATAGTATATTTCTTACGCAGCTTGGTGCACGCTTACCATTCGATTTCATTTAATTTAACGATTAACCAGTGTGCCTCGCACTCATAGATTTTCATGCTCAATATTCGGATTATAGGGCTTAACAGTGGCATAAAAAAAATCGTCACATAAATTATCAATTATCGAGTCTACGATAGAACGAGCATCCTAAATTTATTTATTTTTCTTTTAGCTTGGGCCTCTCTTCCCATCGGAGCTCAGAATGTCAACGTCCGGTGCTAAACTCTGCCCTCAAATATGTCCTTGGAATAATGCCTTAGTCGCTCATACCTGTGCTGGCGATATACATTTGTCTCACAGTATTACAGGATCCTCGGTAAGATTAACACATGCGAGAAAGGGGGGCAGGAGTTTAGGCGAAGATCCTCTCAGCGCAGGAACTCCGTCCTACGTTATGCAAGAGGAATTTACTCGGTATGCATTTATATGCATTTATACCCATAGACTTTATAACATAATATCCCACCACCCTGACACATACTAACATCTCAATGCATACGACAAATCTAATTCTATTTATTTCAGGTATATTGGCTATTGGTGGCAACCGAAATCCGATGATGGAAAATACAGAATTGTTTACGAAGAAGTAGACGAAAGTGACGTTAAAATATTTTGTTTCCCATCATCGGACAACTCGCACGACGTAGATGAATTTAGATTTCCAAGAGCGGGTACTAATAACGCGAGAAGTAATTTAAAACTAGTGCAATTTAGGGTAACGGAATCTTCACAAATTGTGGATATAGAGACTCTCGAACTGCAGTATCCATTACATATTATGTTTCCCTGGATGGAGTATATGGTCAGGGCTGGGTGGATGCGAGATGGTCGACAGTATGTCATAAAAGTTATTAGTCTTTTGTAACAAAAAAAAAAGAAAAATTTGAATGTTTGTTTTTAACAGTTGTATGTTACTTTATTAGCGTTTGGGTACAGTTGTTAGACAGAAAGCAACAGAGGTTAGAACTTGTGCTATTGTCAGTCGACAATTTCTGCGAACCTCCACCAAATATATACAGCTCGGAAAATCATTTTACGCCATCTTCAGCGAGCGTTCAAGTTATTTATTCGGAAGCAAGCTCGATTTGGATAAACGTAAACGACTTGCTTTATTTTCTCCCATCCGATGACCCAACAGAAGTGAAATTCATTTGGGGTAGCGAAGAAACTAATTATAGACATTTATACGTTATTACGTCAAGTATAGCTGGTATGTTGAAGATGATATAATTGACATAATGAATTGAAATAATAAGATTATGCATTTAATGTACAGGCTCAGGTAATGGAATCGAGGAATCTCTAGATCGAATGGATAGCGTATTTTTACAGCCGCGTATATTGTCGAAGGTAGCTTTAACGCAAGGCGAGTGGGAGGTACTTGGCAGAGAATTGTGGGTTGACGAAGCTAACTCGATTGTTTATTTTATTGGATTAAGGGAAGGGCCTCTCGAGCAGCATGTCTATGCTGTATCTCTTCACCGTCCATTAGAAATTAGATTGCTTACAAGACCAGGATATAGTTACAATAATGTTTACTTTAATAAGGAATGTACGATGATGGTGACTGTTTATAGTTCGATAAAAACATTGCCTGCGTGCCAGGTGAATTTTTATTTTAATTACTCTCTATTAATTTTTATTCGGACATTCGTCATTAACGGACGAAATGTAATTTTCCTTATGTTATTTGACTTTTCAAGGTATTTCGAATATCGCAATCTGACTGGATGGTAGAAAATATTTCGCTTACGCTTGTCGGATACTTACTCGAGCCATCGATACCAGAATCCGAGCTTTTTGCTCCTGAAATTTTTACTTACAAGATTGCATCGGGAGATACCATATACTCAATGATATTTAAACCGCATAATTTTAAAAATGGAACCAAATATCCCACTATATTAAATGTCTACGGAGGGCCCGAAGTACAATTAGTATCTAATACTTTCAAGGTCTGTACAATCGTCGATGACATTTTATCATGATAATTAGCAGAATTTTAACGTATCTCTCATTAACTTCTATCGATACTCGCAATAATATTGATTACTGCTTATACAAACAATTGTTAGAATTAATTTTTGAGTACAGTTTTTTTGGATTTACGTTAATCTGTCATGTGGTGCGTGATATTTTTTTACTATGTAACCAAAGAGCTGAAATTATCAAGTCTTAGCCATTATGGGTCGTGCATTATCGTTGTTCTTCTAACCGATATTCTACATTGTATACGTGATCTTTTAGGGGATGAGACATTTGAGGATGCATATGCTTGCGGCACAAGGCTATTGCGTGGTATTAATCGATTCTCGAGGTTCGCATCACAGGGGCCTGTCATTCGAAAGCCATTTGCAGCGAAAAATGGGTACCGTTGAGTTGAACGATCAAGTCGAGGTTCTCAGGTGGCTTGCTGAAATAACCGGCTATATAGATTTAAATCGTGTTGCCATTCATGGTTGGTCTTATGGAGGATATTTAAGTCTCATGGGTCTAATACAGTATCCCGATGTTTTTAAGGTTTTTCTTTTTATATATCTACATTTCATCATAAAGCAGCGAAATATTCTAATTTAATATTTTGAGAGAAAGCCCTTTATGATTAGAAATGCCTTTCAACCTTTTGTAATTGTAATTCTAAATTGTAGGTCGCCATCGCTGGAGCTCCCGTGACCTCTTGGTATTTTTATGACACGGGTTATACAGAGAGATACATGGATCTACCTCAAAACAATATTCATGGTTACGTTAATGGATCAGTTTTAACCTATGTTAATAAATTTCCCGATGAAGAAAACCGACTACTGATAATTCATGGATTAATAGATGAGAATGTTCATTTTTTTCATACGAGTCAACTGATAAACGTTCTTGTAAAGACCGGCAAACCATACCAGTTGCAAGTCTATCCCAATGAGAGGCACAGTCTCAGAAGTTTAGATGCTAGTAAGCATTACGAAACAACTCTTCTTTCGTTTCTACAAAATTATTTATAAATCCGCTTTAGCTTTACCGAATTATCATTATTATTATTATTAATTATTATTAATTATTATTAATTATTATTAATTATTATTAATTATTATACATATGAGTTTAAGTTTGTAAAATGATGAACAGAAGAAAGTTGTTATATGAAATAATGTAAGCAACATGTTGGTATTTTATGTATATAGAATATGAATGTTAAAACATTCGACTTTTGCGTTCTTTTATCGCGTTGCTATTATCGAAATGAGTAATCGGTAGCTTCTAATCAAAAACGAGATTTTTAAAGACTTAACAGTATTACATACGTAAATGGATATTAAAATGTTTTATGCAGTTTTTATTACAACGCTGCAAAATAATAAGTTTTTACAGCCTTCTACTGTATTGATGATTTTGATGAGTTAAGGCACTGTGCTATTCAAGAATTTCCAAGAATATAAGAGATTTCATCATTGATATTTAACCCATATGGTTGAGAGAAAGTTTTAATTTTCATTTGTAAATTGTTTAAAAATGTAGATTTTAAGTAATTATTCTATCGTTAAAATTGTAAAAATAAGCCCATTGATTTTTGATGGCAATGGACAATACTCGCAATCACATTGTACAATATATTTACACATAGAAATGAACGATATTAGTTTTCTGTATACTTTTATCTCTTTTTTTAGTTGTACTTATTTGCTATTTCTTATGTAAATATACACATACTAGATCATTTATATCATTTTTATTTTAAACTTAATATGTGTATAGCACTGACGATTTTTTTTCTTCTCCTTTTTACAATTAATCAGCAATTGAAAGTATGTTTAGTGGGAGAAATAAATAGTTGATGCAATTTCTGCCATTTAAATACCTTACTCGTGTTTATTAATGCACTATTTCCTATAAAAAAAAAAAAAAAAAAAAACAAGAAAAAAACAAAAAACAAAAACACAAAAGAAAAATTTATTATTTTATAAATGTCTCGTTGTTTAAATATTTAATATACCTTATTCTTCATTATGTAAGTTGTATATTTTATATAAGTATTGAATTTAAAATAAACAATGTTTATAATCATTCAATATTTTATTATAAATATTTATCACAAACTCCATATTACATTAAGATATTAATTATTAAAAATTACTACAATAATTAGTCTCGTGACATATTTGGCCTCGTTTTTCTGTTTAAAAATTTGTACAGATATTCGATTCTTTTATTTAACTGTAACCATTTTGTAGGTCTAGCTATTGGGTAAATGCCGTTCTTTAACATTTTCTTCTTCCTTAAAAGAACCTGAAATTCATTGCCCTTGACGCCTCTTAACCACATTGGGACATTGTACATGACATCCTTAACCGAAAGCTCTTCGTTTCCAAGAATGTCTATATAATCATTCTGTCCGAACAATGCTTTTTTCTCAGACCACGAGTCATCCGGCCGATACGTTGGCATCTGTCGAATCGGATTATTGTCATCCGTATGCGCCAATAATCCCTTTTGATCTATGTGCTCATAATAGCCATGTCTCCTTACGAGTCGTTTTTTATTAGCAAAATATCGAAAGCGCACTGTTGTAATTTGTGGCAACCATGCTTTCAATCCTGTCGTTACAACATTTCTCAAGCTGCACATCCTACAAATCTCAAAATACAAACATATATTATAATAATCTTATTTACCAATCAATGCTTAAAACTATAAAGCATTATCTAACCTAAAAGCCACATTATAATATAACAATTACAAAAAGCACGAAACTTTATTTTAACTGCAAAAAAAATATTTGTTGTCACCTGTTATTTAGCCTTTGTCTTTCGAAAATGCCAGTTCGTATTCACAAACGAAGAATATACTTTAAAAATTTACCGCATCTGCTGCCATTCCCATTAAAAAGCCACTTTCATTTCATCGCAATTAACCTCTTCGTAAACCCTAGACTACTGATTTAAAAAGTTTTACCTCCCTCCTGCATCCGCGATCCTATCATCGATTACCTAAAGGACAATCATTAAGTGGCGCATGGCGGATGAAAAGGCTACCTCGCCTTTCGAAATTACCGCCTCTTTCTTTGCTAATTGCTAATACTCGCTCCCGATGCTAATGATCAAGAAGTAATATCAAGTAAGGCGAGAGAGAGAGGGAATTTAATTGTATAGTGAATTCCGTCGCCTCCCGTATTTAAATATAATAAAAAAAAAAAAAAATGTCTATTAATGACATGATATTATCGTTTATTTATTAAACGACAATGATGACGCCAAGCGGCTTGATTAATTATTACAAATACCTAATTTGGATAAATTGTTACTTCCCATTAAGAAGCATCGATTTTGTATCACATCATCAACATTGTCACGATTTATTTTTCAAATTATATTTTGTTAACGAGGCTGCTCGCTTTTATTTTCCGCGATTCGTGAGTATTTTCGGCTAGTCAAAGTACGGAGTCAAACACGACAAATCGTTTTAAAATTTTTGAGAACGAGATAGACGAAGCATTCAAGATTAAACTAAACATTTTCAATGATCGCGTTTCTCGAATTGTGGACGAATGAAATTCAAAAGAATTCATAATATTTGATTTAATATACCTGCATTGTTAATCGACGAAATTGCTTATATTTATAATTTATATTTTATGTCATTATACAAATATATATATATATATATATATATATATATATATACAACATTTTCTTATTACAATTGATATTTAATTTTATATTAATATAGAATAGGAGTGAAAGTAAAGTATGTTTATTGTAAAGTAATTCACAGACGAAACATTAATTATTTACATCGCAACAAAGTTACGAAAATGTGTGAAAAATTAAATATCTCAAGCTTAGAGCAAATTAATTTATTATAATATTAAAAAACATTCCAACAGTCCAACAATATTTGACGCAGTTTTCATTCTTATCTATATATTTATATATTTTAAATATCTAAAATATCTATATATATTTTTTATAAATATTGTATTCGAATAAAGAAATTCTTTCTTGCGCTAATTTTTCTTTTTAAAGTATGTATGAAAATAATTTCTTAAATACAATTTCAAACTAAAAACTTACCTTTTCCAAATTTTAAATAAACAATATAACAATTATTCTACACATTTAATGACAGTATAAACATTTAATATAGCTTTATTTAATTTATAGCTACATCATGTAAATTATGTATACATTTTAATAATATTATAATTAAATAATTTAATAATAGTTGAAAATAGAAGCAAAAAAAAAAAAAAGTTTTAAACAAGTACCCCTCAATTAATTCATTCGGTTATTTATTATATTTATTATATTGATTATATTTTAGATTTTATTAACTGTAAGAATACTTCAAGTTTTTGCTTATTGTATCACATTAAATTTTAATTATTTTAAAGATGTATTTATTGTTTTTATTGAAATATATTAATTACTTCCATTGAGCTATGTAACTTCCATAATCAGCTATGAAAAATCTGACGATAATATTGCTAAATATATTTAATTATTTTTTATTTAAAATTTAAGAATTTTTTAAATTACAAAATACGCTCATTGTGTTTATGTAGCTGTAAAGTAATTTAAATCAATGAACATATATATTAGTGCAAAATATTATATGTATTGAATTTCATAAAATTTTTCATTTATTTTCAAACATTATTTGGAAACAATTTTATTGTATAAATTAATCGGTATTAATTTTTTCATGTTTTTTTTTTTTATCGAGCAAATATTTCAATACATTTTTTCCAATTTCTATAAAAAGTTAATATTACATATTATTATTAAAATTAATACAAGTTGTGAGTATTAACGTATTTATAAATTGTGAAATTTACAATAATAAATGTAATTGTTTTTATCATTAATTATTTTGTAAAAAAATCTGTAAACTCAAATAATAATCTTAACAAAAAAAAAAAAACATCTGTATGATTACTCACTAAAAATTAAATGTGTACTAAAATTGTGTTTAGAGAATATTTTCATGAATGATTTCCCAATACATAATATTTATTTGTATGTTTATTTAATCGATGAAGTAATATTACACAAATTTTCTAAATTTTCCACTTGAATATTATAAATAAAATTGCTCGTTACGCTGAATATTATAATACTATTTATAAATTTCCAAATCATGGGTCTGCAAAAAAATGTCGAATATTAAGGAAGAATTCAAAATGATTATTTTTATGTTTATTTTGTAAAATTAAAAATTTTAATTATTCAAATTAGTTATTAAAATATACGACAAATAACTGAATGTCAAATTAATATATTAATATTGGCTATGTATTTTCAGAATGTTAAGAATAAAGTTGTTGATTTTTTTAATAAAATATGTATATAAGTATATATTACATATATTACTATATAATATTTTATAATAGAAATTATATCATAAGCATTTACTCGTGTAATCAAATTTTTTAGCATAATTTTTATTTCATAATATAGACGAGTATTATATTATTTTTTATATTAAAAAGATTTTACGGATTAATTAGGAATGACTTTTTACTTCTCATTTGTAAAAAAAAAAAAAAAAAAAAAAAAAAAAAAAAAAAAAAAAAAAAAATAAATACAATATAAATATTACAATATAATATATTATATTAATTTATTATATAAGCTAAGAATTAGCATAAAAGAATTCATAAAAATAAGTTAGAAAATTTGAAAAATTTATAATATTAAAAATAAAAAACAAACATAAATTATAATATGAATAATTAACGATTTAATATGTATTAAAAGATGTTGAATGAAAGCATAAGATAAAAAAAAGATTCAGTGGAAATATTAATTAATTTATGAATAATAATAATAGTTATCCATTACATTTAATACATAAGTATATATAAGGTAAATGAATATTTTATGCATTATAAGAAACAATTGAATTGTGTACATTGTTTTTTGGTTTGTAAAATATTTTTATTTAATAAAATATAGAGAAATTTATAAAATAGGGTGATTATTAATGTGATTAATTTACTGTTGTAACAAAATTTCCATCTAATTTTTTTATAAAATTAATTTTTATTATATATATATATATATATATATATACATTTATTTACATTATTAAATCTTAAAGTATATGATTTAAAACTATAGTACACTAACTACAATATGAATTTAATTTAATTTAAAACAACTTTTATATCAATGGATAATTAGATAAATTAAATTATTCTTTTCTTATATATTTTACCGAATTATAAAATTTATAATGATAATAATTTTATTTTAATTAATTATTATTGATATACATTTTAGTAAATCAAAGAAATATTACAAATCTTTAGTTTAAATACATTAACTCACTTGTTTTCATTTTATGATCACGTTCTTGTCTGATTGATTAAATATTGTTGATTCCTCTAATGGTTTATCATTCATTGGTTAACCTGCGCATTTTTATATAATTAACAACCGCAAATTGCCTATAAATACATTAAAATATAAAAATTAGCAATATAATCATATATGACTTATTATTTTCTAAATTTAGGCATAAACATATTGCAATGTAAAATATGTTATACGTATCACTAAACTCAAATTTCTCTTTCTTTTTAATTTTTAATTTGGTAATCTGTTTAATAATTTATACTTATATAATACCAATATGACTGCTATTGTCTGCTTTTAAAGCTAAGATTAGTTTAAAAATTTCCTTATTGTAATTATTTTTCAATTATTTACAAATAAGTGTTTTTATCATTATTTTATACACTTTCTTGTTGCTGCTTTGTTCACTTAAAATCTTAGATTTGCAGGTTCATCTGTTTTAATATACTATTAGTAATTTTTACCGTAATACTAACAGTATCGCATAATTCCAGCTGAATATGGCTCAATGGAATTTATAACTTATACTTTGTACGTATAATATGTTAAAAACGAATATTTTATACTAAACCGTATAAAAAAGAAATCTATCATAATAAATTAACACAAATTTATATTCTTTTTAATTCTATGAGTTATAAAGCAATGTAATAAAATTTATTTATAATAAATACTTTATTTAATTTGTAATTTTGCTACTATATTTCGAGGAGTGACAGCTATAATATTTACACATATATCACTATAAAAAGTTTAATTTATACTACACAATAATATGCATTAATAATACATAATTCACTTTCATTTTATTACGGTTTACTTCTACATATTACTGAAATACGTCTTGTTTTATCAATAATATTTCCATTATACACAGATTCTTTTTTACATAAAATTTCATGATTGTATTTATAACGAGCAACTCCTTTCATAATGTATAATGATCTTCTTGGAATAAAGAAATCATCCCAATAATCTTCTTCGTGACCAACATATGTAAAGCGCATAACACAGTCACTTAATAAGCTTACAGTCGCAATGATTTCACCACAAAATTTAATACTATCAACGTGAGGCTTTATCCATCCATCTTCCGCAAGATCTAATACATGTACTAGTTTCAGCTGTTCCATGTCCGAGGGAAATGCTTTCTCTTTAATTTTATTTATAATTTTTAAATTATCTTCATTCCATTTGCAATATTCAGTTTCACGATAACCATGAATCATATCGTCCCAATGGGAAGTTTCATATTTCAAATTTTGTAAATAGGGATCAACTTCATTCAATAAAGACTTTTCTTCCTCGATAGTAAGATAATTTTCATAAACTGTTAGGGTAGAATGCAAGTTTTTTTTCCAATCTTTAAAATTATCAATGCTATCATTCACGGCTATCTTATTAACATTAGAGCTGCATTGTTTTAGAAGAACGAGAGGTTCTTTGATTAATTTTAATTTTGATTGTAATATTTTAATGATCATTATTGGATATACAATTTGAATTGATTGTATTATAAAATTTTATAGCTGTTATTACAGACGAGGCACTCAAATGCTTGAAGTTATTCCGATGTTATCTTTTGTATTTTTAACAATAATTAAAGAATATCGTTGAATATTGTCGTAATACTCGTTTTTGATTATGCAATAGAATACTTTAATTTTTCAATATTGAAAAATTTTTTTTTTTTTACACTAACCTATTTGTTCTTATTTACGAAGTTATGTCTACGTTCTCATAATATGAACGTGGGTTATTTGCACTTTTTGTCGACGATTGGCACAATTACTAAATGGTTATATATATATATATTCAATATTCCATTCAATTATTTGCAGTACATTTTAAATATATGTGAAAGTACCTTATTTGGTAATTCGAATTTCCCTTCCAAAAGAAATTCATTTATTTGTAATATTTTTGAACAGTAATTTCCAGATACAGCATACAACTATAAATTACACAAATATAAACAAATATAAATTATAATACGTTCATTAGAATATGAATTGAAAACCGAAATTTGTATTCCATTAATAATTGTCTTATTATTAGTGTAAAAACAATATTTTGTAAAACAATGGATTTATCAAATTTAATTCTTTTAATTTTTTGTGTTTCTGGAAAAATCATAATGTAAATAAAAGTTAATTAATTCATTAAAGCACATAATTATGATATTATATTGGAGTAAAACTAAATATAATATGAATTATATTTAATTGTGGCCCCTTGCAGAACAGACTGTTTAAAATTCGTTTTATTTTGAAAGTAAAGATTATGTAAATATAACGTTAATGACAAACGTATCCAATAAGAATGTAACAATTATAATAAATTTTAATTTTCAAAATATTAATTTTATTTCGATTCGTTATTTAATTACTTTAAAAAACAAGCAAAAACAAAAAAAAAAAAACAAACAAAAAAACCAGTATAATAATAATAATAATAGCAATAATAATAAAAGTGAAGAAGATACGGATTTTTAATGTGGTGATATTATTTTAGAGCTAATAAATGTTAATCTACTTTTCTCTACTACAAGTGACTTTAAAATTATATTATTAACATTTACTGTATAAAGTAAAATATTAAAAATAATTAAAAAAAAAACATATATATATATATATATATATATATGCATGTCAAAATAATTCTACGGATATTCATTAATCAAGCGGTTTAGCTTTTGGAAAGTATTTGGGAATTATAGTCAAATTAATTTTTAAGCTATGAATAAACCCTTCATGTTTAATTAGATATTTTAGCAAATTTGAAAATTTTGAAATTAGACGATATGTTTGAAATTTATAATAATATTGTAATTTTTAAGATTTCAATAGCGGCGCGTTTGTGTTACGAAGTTACTAACTAAACTCGATCGATAACATAATTTTAATGTCAATGGTAAAAAAGTATTGCAAGTGCATCGTCGTCTGATTAACATAAATATGATGATTATTATGGCACATGTTTGATTAACGGTATGAAGTTATTGTCCAATAGATCTAGTAAATGCGCTGGATAACAATATAAATCATCAACAATGTGGATTATACCTGTATTACGATGCCGGAGAAGTTTGTATTTATCGAGGGTGCCGATGGTAGTTTTCGAGGTGAGGATGGTGTCAGGTTATGATTTCCTTTTAAATTATTAAATCACTATATCAGTGTTTATTTACTTAAATAATTAAATATACGTTGTATTACGTAATTTTGAAAAATTATACATCCTTTTAAATGAATTATTAGGGAAAAGTACGCTTCATGGCATCATATTTAAAATATGCCGAACACAAATCAATCGAAAAAATTAGAAATATAGGAATCTCGGCTCACATAGATTCTGGTAAAACTACTTTAACAGAGCGCATTCTTTATTATACTGGACGAATTGAGAAAATGCACGAGGTAATTGGTATTAAAAAAAAAAAAACGTAAAATTATATTGCAATAATAGAGCTAATTGAATATAAACATTTGGAATATTAATTATTTAGGTAAGAGGAAAAGATAATGTTGGAGCTGTGATGGATAGTATGGAATTAGAGAAACAGCGTGGAATTACCATTCAATCGGCTGCGACTTATACTATATGGAAAGATTATAATATTAATATAATCGATACACCTGGTCATGTAGACTTTACCGTCGAAGTTGAAAGGTCCTTACGTGTTTTGGATGGTGCAGTTTTGGTACTCTGTGCGGTCGGTGGAGTCCAGTCGCAAACTTTAACAGTTAATAGACAGATGAAACGTTACAATGTACCTTGTTTAGGATTTATTAACAAATTAGATCGAATTAAGGCAGATCCTAGAAGAGTTTTGGAGCAAATGAGAACTAAATTGGGACACAATGCAGCTTTACTTCAGTTGCCAATTGGTAAAGAGAGTAACGTAGTTGGAGTAGTAGATCTAATTGAGAATAAAGCTATTTATTTTGAGGGTGATTGCGGGGAAATTATGAGAGAGGACCAAGTACCGCTAGATATGAAAGAAGGTATGGCAATATGCAGACTGCCATATGTTTATACATATTTTGCATATATCGTACGAATGAAATGTTAATTATGTAATTTCATTTTACTATTTTATGTAGAAGTCGAAGATTCAAGGAATGAACTAATCGAGCATGTAACTGATGTGGATGAAAAACTTGGAGATTTATTTTTAAACGAAACTAAATTTACGAAACAGGACTTGAAGGATGCCATTCGAAGAACATGCTTGAGCAGAACATTTACTCCTGTTTTAGTTGGAACGGCTTTAAAAAATAAAGGTGTACAATTATTACTTGATGCAGTTTTAGATTACCTACCAAATCCTGGAAATGTTAATAATTATGCTTATTTGGAAAAAGAAGAGTAAATATAAATGTCGTGGTAATTATATTTCCGAAATTTGTTATTAAATTTTGAATTAATTTTTTGTTTTAGAAAAGCTGAAAAATTAGTATTAAACCCTGAGCGCTCTGAAAAGCATGGTTTTGTGGGTTTAGCTTTCAAATTAGAAGTTGGAAAATTTGGACAACTAACTTATTTCAGATGCTACCAAGGGATGTTGAAAAAGACCGATAATATTTATAATACAAGAACTAAAAAGAAAGTAAGTAGTAGGTATTTAAAAGCGGCAGAGGTTACGTAAAAAAAAAAAAAAAATATTTAGGTTCGAGTTTCACGTTTGGTGCGTCTTCATTCAAACACATTGGAAGATGTTAATGAAGTATACGCCGGAGATATATTTGCATTGTTTGGAATTGATTGTGCCTCTGGTGATACGTTTGTTACTAAAGGCGATCTAGCAATATCGATGGAACCGATATTTATACCCGAGCCCGTTGTTTCCATGTCGATTAGCCCACAGAATATAAAAGATCGCGATAATTTTTCAAAGGCAATTGCAAGATTTACCAAAGAAGATCCTACATTGCATATTACTTACGATGTTGATAATAAAGTACGTTATCCTTTATATTTTTAAGTAAATCTCAGGAATTTTGTCTATAATTTTTATAAGTTTTATAATTTGTATTAATTTATAAACGCACAGCAAAGCATAATTTCTGGAATGGGTGAATTGCATTTGGAAATATATTCTCAACGTATGCAGCGTGAATATAATTGTCCAATTATATTTGGTAAACCAAAAGTTGCTTTTAGAGAAACCTTAAGTGCTCCGTGTGAGTTTGATTATCTTCATAAAAAACAGACCGGTGGTGCAGGACAATATGCTCGTGTTATTGGAGTTTTGGAGGTTAGAATGAATATTTATTCTAAATTAATAATGGTATTTTTCAAATTAATAATTATTGTTACTTCCACCAGCCACTTCCACCAAGCAGAAACACTAATATAGAGTTTAAAGATGAAACTATAGGGACTAATGTTCCCAAACAATTTATGCCTGGTGTACAAAAAGGCTTTTTGTCAATGTGTGAAAAGGGTCTCTTAACTGGTCATAAATTAGCTGGCTTAAAACTCAGATTGATAGACGGTGCTAACCATATGGTCGATTCATCAGAACTTGCGTTCTTCTTAGCTACTCAAGGAGCTATAAAACAGACATTCGAAACCGGTAATTGGTATGTTCTAGAGCCTATTATGGCCGTCGAAGTTACAGGTCCTATAGAATTTCAGGTAAAACCTTTTGATGTATCTAATTATAAATTTTATAATTATAGTTATTAAATATATCATAAACATTATTTAGCATATAATTATATATAATATATTTTATGAATTAATTTAAAATATTAATTTACATTAGTTTGTACGAGAGTAGATTTTTAATTTTAATTTTATCTATCATTATGCTAATTAATCTTTATAATATGTTGGACAATATGTACTTTAAAATTCCCTTTAATGCTTATTTATTAGATCTGTTTTAAGATTCTTTGATTGCTTATTTGTTTTTTGTTTTTTCTTTTTTGCTTCTATGTTGTTGTCTTATAAATTACAAATGACGTTTTTATCTTGAAATCTTTGGATATGTGTAATGTATAGTTTATAGTGACATTTTTTCAGAAACGATAGTAAATTACAGTCTAATTTTAACAATTACAATATGGTAATTGCAGTATAAATTTTATGAAAATATCGTTGGCATAGTAAGAATTATAGTGAAAAATTTTTGCTTACGATTATATATCATCAGGTATCTTTTATAATTGCATGAATCCTTTAATTCTACCCATGTATTATTATATTAAACATGACTAGTTATTATTTACCGTACTTATGCACGAGGTTAAACAATGCTATAATACTAATAAAACTAAAGATTTTAAATGAATCATGTATTATGTATAAACTTCAGGGGGCCTATATTCATTATAAAATCAACTTTTATAATATAATATAATAACAGACAATGAAATAACAATAAATATTTTCACAACAGAGCGTAATAATAAATCACTTGAACAAAAGGCAAGGTATCATCACTGGACAGGAGCAAATCGAAGAGTGGTTTACTATTTATGTTGAAGTACCGCTGAATGATATGTTTGGATTTTCATCGCAATTGCGGTCGTTTACTCAAGGCAAGGGAGAATTTTCAATGGAGTACAGTAGATATAGTCCTTGTGCACAGGAGGTACAGGATCGACTTATTCAAGCATTTCAAGAAAGTATGGGTGTAACTCAAAAGCAAAAAAGATCAAATTAAATAACAATTAGTTATTTATTCGGCGTACGTTTAATACTGAATATTTACGAATTGAATAATATTGTCAATAATGTTTAAAATGATTGAAAAATATTTTTAAACAGAAATCACATTAATTTAATATTTTTTACTCGATAATATTATCATTTGACAAGATAAAAATGTAAAATTATGTTAATTCGTTAAAATTAATATATTATATAATGCACATTGTCGAGCACTTACATTATTAAGATAATTAAGTGATTGCAGTATTTTTATGTGTAAATAAATTATTATACGATATTTGTAATTAATAAATAAAATATTGTTTTTTTATTATTGTACTTTTGTGTTTTTTATTATAGTTTTTATTGTACGTTCTATCTAATTATCTAATATCTCATAACGTATGTAAAATATAAAATATCTAGAAAATCGAGATTATACTAGGGAACAAACGACAAAAGCTTTCTATCTTTCTTTTTGTCGTATCGAAGCACGTATGAACAAAAAAACAAGGAATGAGTTAAAAATATAATGTTGTTGTTCTCAGAGGGGATAACAGTTGTACTTCATCATACCATTAATTGCGTCAGCTATAATTTTTATTTAAAGATACAGTTTAATAACAATTACAGGATTTTTTAGTTTCAGTATATTATTGCTAATATTTAAATAAGACTCAATTATTTAGTTTATTATTATTATAAACTTAAAGCATAAATACATGATTTTTCCATTCGTAATATTATATTAGTTTGGAAATTATGTATTATTATGGTTATGTAATACGTGTTGGGCAATTGCTATAAATACATGGATATTAATGGGAAAATGATTCTATAAAATTGTAAGAAATTAAAGCATTCTAATATGGTTTTTTTTTTCTTTTTTCTTTTAATCAACGGCTACAATTACTTTATCAAGTTTCATTGATATTTAACGATATTATTTTAATTGAACTTTCGCTATTATAATTTATAATTATGACGAACAATGAATGCAGCTTAAACATAAAAGTCAACGTTCATTGTCGATTAAATTAACCATAGACATTACACGCTAATAATAAAATTCGACATCGTCCTTAATTATTGGAGAAAATAATTTATGAGTTTTCTAAAGCTTTTATTAAATATATTTAATAGATATAATCGTATATTGAATGCAATAAAGAAATGATAGTTGTAAATCAAATTGACAAAAATGTCCAATCGAGGATAACGAGAACTTTTTTAAATATCGTATGCTGTAGAATGAAGTGTTATTTAAGAGAGACCGGGTGTGCTGTCGTCGTGTGATGTGGTGTGACGTGGTGTGATGTGGTTTGGCGTGGTGTGGTACGGTGTGGTACGGTGTGGTACGGTGTGGTACGGTTTGGTACGGTGCGGTACGGTGTGGTATGGTGTTGTATGGTGTGGTATGGTGCGATGATAATGCGCGAGTGAGCGTTAGCACGTGTGTTATTTGGACAAAGGTTCTTAGAGGTCAGCGACGTAGCCCTCGACGGTGATTCCGGGAGCGAGTAACGTGGTGACGCTTGCTACAGCCACGGTCTCATTACCGTCGCTCCAGGCTCTTTCCCGGCCGTACTTCTCAGACATTCGTACCATCTCATTTGGACTCCATTCGGGTGACACGGATTTGTTGCCGTTGCTGCTGTACACGACATTCGACTCGGGCGTGGCCTTGCGAGCCGAGTGGAAGCCCGAGGACTCGGACGAGCCATAAGCGTCGAACACTGGAGTGCGTTTCATCGAATTACGCTGGTGTGTCGTCTTACGCAGCATCGCCTGCATGAACAATTGGCGCTCTATTACTTTATATTTCATTATTGGTGATTTTGAAAGAGTTGGTTTTGCGTCAATTAAGATTCAAATTACATTGCCAATTTATCATCGATAATGCACGAAGGTGACGATCAATAATAAATCAGGTCAATTTTCTTTTCTTTTCTTTTCTTTATTCTTATTTCTTATTTCTTTTTTCTTTTTTCTTTTTTCTTTTTGTACAGGCTGCGATGGCAATAATTTATATTTCAAAACGGCCGCATGCCCATTGATTAACAATTGCTAGTAATTTTGATAGTTTAGAGATTAATTTCAGTGTCATTAAATGATAAAAGTGAGTAGTGCTTCTATCCATATTTTAAATAAATTCATTGCTATTTGTTTAATAATTTAATAACTAATGCCATTGGTCATCATTGGATATCATAGAATGACATACGATAAAAAAAAAAAAAAAAAAAAAATTTATAATTACTTGAAAATTAAAGGGAGGTTCATCTCCGGTGTCGTCATTGTTATTCTGTTGTCCAATCATTCGTAGTTCATGAATTGGGTTGACGCTGATTAACATTAACAGCATTATTTTTATCGAATAAAATCCACACGCAACAAGTTAATAATAAAAATAAGATGTTACCGTTGGTAATTAAAAGTGTTACTGTTAATCCTATCTTCCGTGGCCCAATTATCATTTGTCTCATTTTTATTTCTAGCTGTACTATTGTAGTTGCTATAATTTCGAGTCTGAGTCGGTTGTAATTGCACTTTATTTACTGGGATTGGAGGCGGTGGTACTTTCTTTCTAGAGCCGGTGTGTCCAACTTTATTATAATTATTCTAAAAAAAATCATGAAATCGATTTATTGAATCACTGACTTTTAAAGGATAGCTTCGTGCTAATAATATCGTGTGCACGTTATTAGGGAAAGGAAGACATTAATAATTTAGAGATTTCGAGCACCTTTTGAAATTTTCAACTCAAGGAGCTCGATAAAGAGCGAAATAAATAACTTACTGAGCGAGAAGTATGAGCGTTAGCTGGTTGTACGGGGTTACGGCCGTCGATTGGTGGCTGAAAACTGGAAATGGCTCTGGACTGGGCTTGGGCTTGGGCTTGGGCTTGGACTTCTGCCGGAGGGCATCGGACTGGGACACTGGGGTCCCTGGAAAATGGAGTGTTGATAAGACTTTGATCCCCGGCGCTCGCTGTGTTTATAGCGCGATGGGGGGAGTTGGTCGTTTGGCATTGGACATCTGAAATATAAGAGTCATATTATGGAGAAAGGGTTTGACGCAATCTGACTGCTCTTTAACTGCCTATCTCCTCGAGCTTCTTGCTTATTTAATTATCATTCTTGAGCTTATTTAGTTTATTTTGTTTTATTTTATTTTATTTTTTAATCCAGTGCCACGAGTAATAATAATGGGGAGCGCTTAAGCTGATAAGGAGATGAGATATGATAAAAGAGATGCGTATGGAAATACGATCAGAGGTATGAACGACAAAAGGCAACACGAGCGTGGATTAACTCTAGTTTAATATAATTATCTATTGAATGGGGAATTTATTGTAACGCTTGTGCCAATGTTTACTTTTATGTTACATTAATTAATTAATTGGACATAATTCACATAATACTCGTTACTCGCAGTAAACAACAACAAACAAAATTTATTTAATTTAATAACACATAGTTTATCAGACAATTAACAATAAAATTACTAAATTACTAAATTATTAAAATTACGATATTTGCGTTGTGCATATGAATAATGCAAACATATTTCGTGCTTAGTGACGGATAACAAAATAAAACTCATTCCAACGATCGGATCCAACATTGATAAGCAACGATAACTAAATTAAATTGAAAATAGTACGCAGAGTAGTGGCACAAGCCAATTCAGCAACTAAATGGTATAAAATACTTTATAAAAATTTATCAGTAGTATCCAAATTAGGCAATTAAAGTTGTCGACCGATGGCTGATTATTGTATTATATTGTTTTGAACGCCAAGGTCCCCCCCCCCCTCCCTCCCCCATCCCCCATCCCCATTAGCTTATCGAACGTTGGCCATGCTCTAGGAGGACGCTGCTAAAGGAATGATAGGCACCTTTCTTGTTCCGTCTGATGTTTCCCCAAATGGTTTGTCTCCGCAATGGCTCATCCCAATTTTCTTGCTCGTCATCTGACACCGAAGACGTTATGGATCTGCAGAATGCATTTTCAGGGTAAAGCCAGAAATGCCGGTTACGTTCCGATGTTTTTTCCTCGTATTGTTTTTTTTTTTTTTTGTTTTTTTTGTTTTGTTTTTGTTGTTGTTGTTGTTATTATTATTCTCGGGCGAATGAAAGCAAACAGAAATACGTATGTACATATGTGCGATGAAATCAGCTGTTAATGGATGCCATTGCTCGATTGTACGTTTTAAAGATTAAATTTGTTGAAAGATCATATGTAATGCTCGTTTCGAAATTCTTACATTTGTCAAAATAGTTAAAATAATAACAATAATAATAATAATAACAATAATAATAATAAAGAAATAAAAAAAAATAAAAAAATAAAAAAAAAAAACATAAGATACATGTATGAGTGAATGCTAAGATAGGACAGCTGGCTTTAGGGATTTTTCACGATTAAGGTTCTCAATAAGTATTTTTCTATTATATCGAAGTAATAATAATCTTGAGCTTCGCTTAGTCTCAACATTGAGCTAACATGTCAAGCTTTATTTCAAAGTTTGTAATTTTTATCTCGTTAATTATATACGATTCTTTTAAGCGTATTGCAATAGAATGCTTTCGTATAAAATTTCTCGCACGCGAAACCACATCCACCAAGCATTAAAGATTGTTAAACGAGGTTAATCAGTCAATACAGAGTCGACGCATTATAAAATGAATGGATGGAAGAATTTTTGCATATCATTTTTCATCACCATATGAGAATTAATCATTAAAAAAAAATAAAAAAAAATAAAAAAAAAAAATAGACATATATTCTTCCAAATCGTTCATTAACTAATGTTCGGCTAATTACTTATTAACGATACTAATCGATAAATATTATAATCTGCGTGAGCGAGACTTACCCTTGTCTCCTACGTGCTTTGGATGGATCGTGCATATGACTGGTGTCGTAAAATGGTAGCTCGGTATGAAAATTGAAGGGGAGCTTGTGAACAGTTAATAGTGGGGCAGGACCGAGGAAGGCGTCGGGGTTCTCGTGTGGATCGATCCTTTCTAGGGGCACTCGCTCATTGCTCATCTGCAGAGCCCCCACTGTCGCCTGATTGTATAGATGGACCTGGCAATCGAATAAAAGTCCAAGGATAATCGCCGGAGCTTGCAAAAGGTTCGCTAGTGTCTCTGTCTTGACAGTTTTTTCAATTACGCCCTGACTCAAAGCCACCGGTTTGTTATTTTTGCCGAAACGAACATCGAATTTGCTCGCATTCAGCGATATCGATGGGCCTTGACGAGGACAACTACTTAATAATAATACTAACACACTACCGTATCTCAACCGCTCAATTCGACCATGCGAGTTACAATTATCGCACAAATAACCACCGGCTTATTATTACGCTTTTTAATGTAATTACTCAATACTCTACTGTCCGTATGGGAATCTGCAGTCGAACGAATTAAATGAAACAACAAACAACATACCGCGAAATAAATGTGTCGGGCAATCGATCTTACTTGCTGGCAAAATTGGACCAGATCTTGATAACGGGCTGCACGGTAGTGTAGGAGGACTTGGAATATAGTCTTTGATCTCCACTTGCTGCAATAAAATCTCATCATGTCCATCGTATTCTGATCCCAATTCGGATCCTTCGACAGAAGGGTTCCGGTTTCTTTCCGGACTTGATGACCTCTGTACGCTGTTTAAAACAAAACAAAGCAAACGAAAAAAAAAAAAAAAAACAATCAAAACAAAACAAAACAAATGAAGATTTTGCGATAAGGGGCGCTTTGTCATTAAACGCAAAACGACGAAACTGTCCGATGTAGCCTATTAACAAGGTGCGATAGAGGCTCGACAAACGGAGAAATTATCGCTTATAAATTCATGAAAATTACCAAACTATGCAATCCAATTGATAAAGTTATACCTTTTTGTAGAACTAGAGCTGCTTCTTCTTGAGACATGTCCTGCATTATCTCCGTACTCGTGCTCGACTTCTCCGACTTGGGTCTTTGGCTTGAATCTGGTTTCGTCGGTACTTTCTTCACTGAAACATTTCCCGTTAGCTTCGGGACGATTAAAGTAGAAAGCAAACAAAAAATAAACAGAGAAACATCTATACTGTGTACAAAGACAAAAAAAAAAAAAAACAAGAACAAAAAAACAAGAACAAAAAAAAAAAAAAAACGTTATCGTGGCAAAATTAACACGAGTGCATAATGATCGTAAGAGACGATAGTTAAGATTTTCATTATACTGTATGTGTATATGCGCGCGTATTCTACGTATACCAACCAGCTTCCTTGTCCTGTCCGAATTTGTTTTTCGTCGACTTCATTGCGACCGTTTTACGCGCTAAGAACGCGCGGAGCATACACTGCACCTTGATGATTTTCTTCACCTGCGTCTCGTACAGACGCGACAAGTACTCTTCGTTGTAATATCTAAGGAAGACTTTGGTCCTTCCGATGAGCCATCCCTCCATTTTTAATCTAATCATCAATAGCCGGCAATTATCCTGCGTCATTTCGACATTCTCATCAAAGTCGAAGGCGAGGAATTTGTATCTAGATCAAATAAATAGAAATAGTCGATATATTAATACAGTCGCTCGTCTGCCCAAAGCAACTTAAGGGGCGGCTATTTTAAAGTAAAAAAACAAAAAAAAAAAAAAAAAAAAAAAAAAAAAAAAAAAAAAAGTCAAGCAACTCAAGGAAAAGGTCAACAAGATTTATTATAAAACGTGAACGGTATATTAAAATGAAGCTTTTAATTGCAACAAAGAAGTCACTTCGAGGGAAGAGGGCGAATTTATAGGCATATAATATACATTAGATCCTTGATATGAATATCCGAGGGACCAACCGTCGCAAGAATTCCTGGAAGGATATCCTGCAGGGATAGCCCTTCTGCCTGGCTCTGGCGGTATCTAAGACGGCCAGCGCGCGGATCTGTTGTCTTACTACCTCCCTGTAGAAGCCGCGGGGCGTGCCCTCCAAGTCCGACCGGATGCACCTGACGAAGTGTGTGCCCCCACCGGCGGCGCCCACCGACAGATTCTTCAGGATCTCGAGGCTCGAGGCGCGGAAAGTCGCCGCGTACGTACGTATCTTTCGTGTCTGCGAGTACTGTCCTCGGGAGGCGGTGTTGTATTTCTGAAAATTGAGAGATCCTCCGGTTTGATATGCGCCATTTATCAGGTATGTAGCCCATTATGGTGGACGATTTAGGAAAATAGGGTTATCGAGCCTATCTTTGCGTCGTCGCAATATGGCCGCGCCATTTAAAAAAGTCAATTTTCGTTGATTGGTCATGGATTGGGGAAAGGGAGGGCCGCACCCGCGCCGGCTCTTGACAAATACGCTCGCTGATGATCGAAAGGGAAACTTGCGAAGCGATCTCGAGTGACGATCCATCGGCTATCTCGTTTGTACTGTCTATCGATAAGATAAATTGTTATTACAATTCACTTGTTAATAATGCACATTATTCTCCAAGACTTTTTAAAGTTAAAATATTTAAGATTAAGATTAAGATATAAATCTATATGAGAATATAGATCAAGAACATAGCCGTATCAAGAGCAAAAAGAAAAGCGAAGCAAACAAAAAACAAAAAACAAAATAAAAAACAAAAAACAAAAAACAAAAAACAAAAAACAAAAAACAAAAAACAAAAAAAACAAAAAAACAAAAGAGAAAAAAGAAAAAAAATAAAATAAAAAAGAAAAGCGCTCGCTCGTTCGTAATGCCAAAGGACGGATAAGATAGCGTTCTTAGTAAGATTCCTCTTTCTGCTTTCTGCACGAAGCTGACTGCAGTGAAACAGCGTGCACGTGTACATTCTATTTAAAGTAATCAGAAAAGGTAAAATTCAAGAAGGGCATAAAAAGTCAAACTTGTCGGCGAATATTTTTCAGCCAAATGACTTTGAATTTCCAAGCTTAAGCTTAGGCTTTATTAAAATTAAAAGCTACTTACTTGGCTACAGGTTAGCTTTACCGACCGGCACACAGGGCAGCCGATAAAACACCGAGGCTCGAACGAAGAAAATCGACTCTGAATGCACATTCATTGTAAATCCTTTTTCATTCCTATGATGTTTCGTTATTGTCATTGTGTGCGTGCGTGTGCGTGTGGGCGTGGGGGGGGGGGGGTGGGGGTTTTTTTTTTTTTTTTTTTTTTTTCATTTCATTGGATCTTTTTGTATTTTTAAGCGATTTACCAGTCCCTTCATGTTCGCGCACTTGTTTATTAATGAACGCGGCGCCTTAATAAACTCGGTTATCTTAAGCTTTCGGCTCGATAAGAACTTTAAGCGAGAACTTACCCGCAAATTGGTGGTCTGCTCGGATTGAAGAAGCGCGGCCCCCCATTTGCTCTTTGCCGTCCTCCTGTTCTGCTGCTGCTGCTTGTTCTTATCTTTGGGGCTGTCCCGCGAGAGGATGGTAAGGGCGCCGCCCTTGGTCAGCTTGTTAGTGAAGAGCTCGCTGACGGTCGCTTGGCTCGACAGTCGCAGCGTCTCGATCATCTCCGGCGGCACAAAGTCCCGGGTCTTCTCCGCAATTTCGTTCGCGTCGTACAAGAGTTTGCCCGTGTAGTGGGCGACCGCGAACTCGTGCTCGCTCTGGATGTTCACGTGGGTGCTATCGGCCTTGCGATTGCTCACGCGATCGAATATGTAGGCGGTATCCTGGAGTTGTCGGGCCGCCTCGTCCAGGATGAAGAACAGCCCGTCGTCTTTGGCCATCAGCTGATCGACCGCTTGTTTATTGTCGTAGAAATGAAAGCGCTCGATCGGTATCTCCTCTTCCTCTTGCTCTTGCTGTGACCGGCAATTTTAATTAGATTTAATAAGAGTTGAAAAATATTGTGCCATGCCGTGTTCAACGATCGCTGGTAAATTTCACATTTACGAGCTTTGAAAGAGATCGCCCTCGAGCCCTCGAGCCACTATTTAATTTACTTTACCCACATTAGTAGCTCGTTAAATTTTATCACTAAGCAAACAATGTGATTGGGGTTTATTGAAAACAGAAAAAAAGGGAAACTCGGACACAATGTTAAATAAACAAATCCCTCTTGAACATTGTTTTATTGTATGGAGATAAGATATTCTTTTCCCAATGGTTAATTAATACGTGCGTTGATAGCGTGCTGAGCGGAGTTTTTTTTTTAGTTTTTTTATTTATGTTTTTTTTTTTTCTTCTCTATTTATTTATTTGTTTCTTTATTATATATTAAACATTGTCAAATATGTTTGCAAACGATTGGCTACTAATCATTCGAGCGTTTAATTGCATTTTTCGTAGTGCCATTTATATGATTATTAGTTCCTCGTGTCTACTCCCTCCCCCTCTCCCTCTACCTCCGCCATCCCCGCCCCCTCCCCCCTCCGCCGTCGCCACCGCCGCCGCCGCCGCGCACTCGTACACTCACCATTTCCCAAACGAATATACGTTGATTATAATGGCACTGCAGTTGCTCGTTCATAGTGTTAACGACGAGTTGCTCGAGCTTATTCTTTGAAAAGCACTCGAATCCAAACAAATCCAAGATATTGATAAGGAATTTGTCTCCACTGTAAAAGTAAACAAGAGAGATTAATAGGGTCCAAAGGATTGCGAAGGGGGGTGATAGGAGGAATTACGTAAGTTACGTACAACAAGGTGCGCGAGACGCTGAATTTCTCATTAATTTGATTGACAATCCAATCGACCAGTCGCTGATAAATTGTGTTAGCGAGCACGTCGCGGGCTTCTTTGGCCTCGTCGCAGTTATTTCGCCGCCTCACCGCCGTTCCCTTCTTAATTACGCAATAGTTGCAAAGCGACCAGGTGAACTTTTTCAGATCGACGTTGAGGAGCTCGGCGACGGACTTGGCCGTCTCGATGTTGTGGACCTCGGCCTCGCCACCATTGCCCTCGATGAACCTCACGTCACCGAGGTTGAGGATCGCGGCGAGCGTCCGCCATATCGTCTCGCAGTGCTCCTCGAGCTCGAGGGCTTTGAGGCACTCCTTGACGTGCTCGAACTTGCGGGCGTTCCCGTACGGGTCGTTGCGTACCTTGAACGAGCGCTTCCGCCCGGATATCGATTCGGATTCGTAGACGCGCAGGTAGCGCATCCGTCGGCCCTGCGGAAGTAAATATTGACGCAGATTTCCCGCTGCCTCCAAGCCATCGTAAAAGTAATAGAAGATGTGGAAATTCGACTGGTTTCTACAGTTGATGCACACAAAGACCTTTCGTTAATGCGATGCTCCTTTACAAAGTTCTTCGTCATTCGAAACATTCGAGCTAAATACCATCGAAATCGGACCCTTACCTACCTCCCTCCCCCCTCCCATCGCCATACATCCCGAATGATTATTAAATAAATATTTCATAAGCGGCATACAAATATACATTTGATTTTAGGTGGACATTTACTCGCGATATGTCCTTATGTTGCCGTATTATAAACGCATTTCGGACTACTCGAATGTTTCATTGGCTATAAATTTGTTATAATTGATTTAACTCTCATCGTTTACGTGAAATGATGATTTGGTTAAGGGCTCGAGTTGTCGTTAACAGTGCTTCGTGATCGTGACATTAAAAAAAAAAAAAAAAAAAAAAAAAAAAAAAAACCAACCAAAAACAAAAACAAAAAAAAATAAAAAAAAAAATAAAACAACAACAACAAAAAATTTCACATAATTTAATAAGTGGAATGGTAATCGGCACCTCGAGATTGCCCGAGACACGAGTGGATCGAATAACGTTGAATTGTTTTACCATCTTAGGCATATTATACTTTACCTATCTCTTGTAGAGACACGGAACTTTTCCAACTGATAAACCCAAAATATGGCACCCGATGCCTTACCGGAAGATCCATAGGTCGTTTGAATTTGATTAACGCACCTCGTCGAATTTATATTCAATGGTGTGGCTGCATTGGTAAACGAGTGTAACAGATCCATGGCCTTTATAACTCTTGCCCCAATGTCTTTTAAACTCTACGCAAAGCCGAAGATCAATCAGTAAGTTAAAATCATAAATATAACAAAGACTACGAAGATAATAAGAATAATAAGAGATGCAGCGATATTATTGACAAAGTCATGTGAATTATGGTTGCATGGGCAATTTGAGCGGGCGTTGCTCGCATTGATACATTAATTATTAACAATAGCCAAGTTTATTAACAATCGAGTAGACTTTACATATCCGATTATTTTACATATCCGATGAAAATTTACAAAATATAGCACAATTTTGAAAATGGTATAACTATAATAATACGTGTAATAGTGCATTGTGTACACAACATAATTGGCTCGTCCATTAAGCGCTTATACGTCATGAAACGTATGTAATCTCGTAAATATAAAATGCTAGCAATTAGGGAAAATGAAATGGAAATAATAAAGGACGTATCGCTTATTAGTTTGGACGCACTGTACTATATCGTTGTATCGTTACTATAAAACTCCAAGTCCCATGCAGGACACATACCTTTCCGAGGTACATGAGATGCTCCATGAGGTGCATCATGTTTGTGGTTTTGCCGGAGTTGCTCTCGCCGGCGAATAAAATGTGCTGCGGTTCCTCGTGATGGAGGACATTCTGGTAGGCGCTGTCGGCGATCGAGTATATATGAGGCGAATTATCCGAGCGAGATTTGTTCTGATACTTGGCATGGTACTGCAATAATATTGCCTCGGAATTAGTGTTGAAACGACGTCGACTAACTTTCAGACTTACTTTCGAAGATTAATGCCGAAGATTAAGACTTATTGAATACTTGTTAGTTATTTTATTTTACTGTTTCTTACTTTACTTTAGTTCACTGTTTCTTACTTATTTAATATTTAGTCACGTAAATGTTATGAAGCTTTTGACATTTAGAGGCAAATCCGAGATTTTTCATGGTTAAATTGCCGTATTTATTGGCCGCTTGACCGGCCTTGACGGCTTAACAATAGAGATCAAATCCAACTTTCGTTATTGGTATTTGACGGTCGTTATTAGAAGCATTGATGTTGCACGGAAAATGACAGGATATCGAGCCGCAGATGAAAGTCGAACGCCATGATTGTTACGAAGATACCTTGGCGAGTTCACCAAGCGACAAAAGTAAGTTGTTCACTTGACTCTCACGATGGTCGTAATTCCCGTCGCTCCGTTAGTCCCCGTATTAATGGAATAGTTAACTTACCAATCACGAATAACAATTTTGCGAGATGCGAACCGACGTCGTTCGACGTAAACGAGGTAAACCACATCTATATCCTTTGTTAATTAGAGGATCCCGAAGAAATTCGTACAAGCGAATAAGCATTGAATTTTTTTAAAAGTCGAACACCGACGCTAACTCGTACTTATCGCATTATCAATATCATTGAAAAAGCTGGCACTGTCGCCAATGGAAATGGGAATTACCGAACGGCCATCCCAAGACTTACGCATGGCCCGTAAATGTCCTGATCCTCGTTCGGATTCAGTATGAGAAGTACGTCGCCGACGAACGTGTGAAAGGAGCCGGTTCGTAGTCGTTCCTGCAGTTCGTCGAGTATGCGGTCCTCCGTCAGCACCTCCAAGGCCGCCAGATCCTCCTGGTGCATTCGCTCGGGCGGCTGAGTCTGATGGCTCTTCAGGTAGCCCTTTCTCACGATAAACTCTGGCTTCTTCAGCTTCTTGCCCTTCTCGCTCGTGCTCAGTACCAGCGACTTTATCTCCTGCGTCAGCTAAAAGCGGCATTACTTTTATCTCGTTCGCGCTCCCGGTGGGTGGTGGTGGTGGTGGTCGTGGACGATGCTCATCACCGCCCCCCCCCCCCCCCACCCACCCACCCACCCACCCACCAACCCACCTTGATCAACGGATTTTGTAGATTCGCGGAGGAGCCAGTACTTACCGGATAGTCGTTCTCTGGTAGCTCCGAGAGAAACGGATGCTCCACGATTTCCGCAATGCAAGGACGATTATCTGGATTTTTTTCCAAGCACCTTCAATATAATGACCATATATTTTATTTGGTTATCCTCTCGGATTGCATTTTAACGGCAAGACGTGCGAGGTCAAGAGGTTCAAGGAGGCAAAAGACTTATAAAGCGCTTGTTAATCTCGATCGACAAATTGTTTAGAGCTTGAACTTTCTTCAAGCCGTAAACGTAAGCATAAAATGCTAAATGTTAATTCGATTAGACAGGCAATTTTCTACGTCATCATAGTAAACGAAGCATCGTATTACTTTCTTAGAACGCCTTATTGTGAAAGGAATAATCCGTAAAAAAAACAAAATGAAACGTTAAAGCAAAGAGAAAATAAAAAAAATGTCTAAATGTAGCGGCGGTCGCGCGGCCGAAGAATAAATTTGAATAATGAAAGTTTAGAGTGGCCGTAAAGAGGCCACGGGCGTGTAATACACGAATAGAGCGATAATAAAGGAATACGCAACTCGGCAATGAAGTCGTTTAAGTTTTGCGACCAGTTGGCGGGCCGATAAAGGGTCGGCGGTGGGTTGCGCACGATCTGGAAGAGGGCCCGGGTGGGATGCATGTCCTCGAAGGGCGGCTTGCCGTCGGCGAGCTCGATCGCGGTGATGCCGATCGCCCAGACGTCGGCTCGGCTCCCGTAACCAGGACCGTGCTCGCTCTTGCTCGTCACCACCTCCGGGGCCATCCAATTCGGCGAGCCGATGCACGTCTGCCGTCTGCCGGCCTCGCCCTTGATAATGCGCGCGAGGCCAAAGTCCACTAGCCTCACCTCGCCCTCCTTCGTCAGCATTATGTTGCTCGCGCGGATGTCACGGTGCAGCACGTTGTTCTCATGAAGGTGCATAACCGCCTATCCAGTGGAATTAGATCATTGCGCGCAATAAGTTTTCGGCATTGTCGTAAGGCAATTGAGCGCGCTTGGGATTTGGGACTCGGGGCCCTGTATTTGCCTGGATTTGGCTTAATAACTAATTAAGCTCGGAGTTGAGATTAAATCCTGGCAATTAGCGAGGACTCGTGTGCACGAGCTACAGGACTAACGTCGCTTCGAGACTTCATTAAAACTCCCACTGCTCTCGCCCGCCGAGCGCTAATCCCTAATTGACTTATAATTCAGGCCCCTAAAGGCGCGAACGCATCTAGTCGCTCGTGCGCACGACTCCTAGTCTCGCTCTCCCCTCTAAACCCCAATCCTGGCTCCGGCACCTATGCCCCGACCCCGACCACAGCTTCCACTCAAAACTCAAAAGTCTAAAGATACTCGACTGTTTTTCGAAAATCGTAAAAGCCAATGGGAACCGCTCGCGCGCATTCCTCGTCGTCGAAAAGAACACCGAGCGTCGCCCATACTTATTAACTCCCCCTTACCTCACCATTCCCATCTACTACCACCGTCACCACTACCGCCATTATTACCACCATCACTCCAATAACCCCTTCCGCCCGGTCGGCCGTCCTTCCTCCTCCAGTCCCCGTCCCGTGCACTCTCATCGTTAGGCGAATTTGGCGCGCGCGCAGTCGTATAAGTCGCCTTAAATAGCGGTGCGCGCGCGCACGACTGGACCAGAGGCGCGGGAGAAGAAGGCCCCTGGAATTCGCGGCGGAAGATGCGCTGCGGCCCGAGCGCAATCACTTTTATAGATTTACTGCAAATTGAACGATCTATAACTCGCGGCCGGCCAAAGCTCCGTCCAGCCTCCATTCTTATGGTCTTAACGCGCGTAACGAGCGCTGCCCCTCGGCGAATCCAATCGAATGAAGCTTACGACGTCCGTCGTAATCGTATGCTTTTATTTTGCTTTATCGGCGAGTTAATAATAAATACGACGGCTTTTCCGGCTGCGCTTTCCCAATTTCTCGAAGATTTTTACGAGACACAGAACGTGCGGCTCTTATTCATTCACGCGATATCGTGACAATTGTTACGTTCTTTCGTACGCGTGTCGAGTTCAATAAGCGAAACGCTTTTTAATTAGTAATAACACGGTGGAATACTTCGATAAGTAGTTACTTTAACACGAGTAATGTCATTATTGCGCATACCTAGTGATTACACTTGATTACCGGCTATTGGGCATTGGACGTAAGTTAGTGTCTTATTATCTCTTGCGGTTGTGTGGCAGTTGTGTCTTTGCGGTGACAAATGACAAATGAATATATATATATATATATATATACAGAGAGAGAGAGAGAGAGAGAGAGAGAGAGAGAGAGAATCGTTGAAAAGAAATGCTTAATCAATCGTCTTGTTCGAGGTGCTTGACCTTTCAAATACCCTTCAGAGGATGTAAATTGTAAATTGGATAAAATATGGATAATTGTAAAAATGACCGAGTCCGTAGGTATGTTTGCGGAAATGTTTAGGGGCTTTGAATAGCGACGGGAGTAGTTCATAAAGAGGCATCGTGCCTTAAGTCTTAAATTAATCATGAAAAAGGGAAGCTTGTCCGAGCCGAAAGCTTTAAGTTGTATTTTAAGAACAATCGGAGTGACCTTACGTTAAAGCGTCGGGGCACGCTTTATTCTTTGTCGAGGGACGTGTCGGAGTGCGGAGTCTGAAAAACGGAGAGTTCGGTAGATGCGCGATAAATAAAAATGAGGCGCGGGAACGTATTGGGATAATCGAGTGTTTGCAAAAATCTGTGATAAATTAAGCGTGAGCCTGCGCGGAATGGAAAGCCGCGTCTCGGTTTTGTTTCACGTTGAAGCAAGGACGGGCAAAATAAGGCAAAAGAATAAGCAAGAGCAGTAGGGGGACGCGGCGATGGAGAAAGAGGAGGAAAAGGAGGAAGAGGAGAAAATAGAAGAAGAAGATAAAGAAGAAGAAGAAGAAGAAGAAGAAGTAGAAGGAGAAGAAGGAGAAGAAGAAGAAGAAGAAGGAGAAGAAGGAGAAGAAGGAGAAGAAGAAGAAGAAGAAGGAGAAGAAGGAGAAGAAGGAGAAGAAGAAGAAGAAGAAGGAGAAGAAGGAGAAGAAGGAGAAGAAGAAGAAGAAGAAGGAGAAGAAGGAGAAGAAGGAGAAGAAGAAGAAGAAGAAGAAGAGAAGAAGAATAAGATGATGATGAAGAAGATGAAGAAGAAGATGGTAAAGATGATGATGAGGACGATGACGACGACGACGACAACGACGATGATGATGATGACGATGAAGACGAAGAAGAAAATGAAGATGAAGTACAAGACGAAGAAGAAGAAGAAGAAGAAGAAGAAGAAAAAGACAAAGTAGAAGGGCGTACGTGGCGTAAGGAGTGAGATAGCAGCGAGTTACCATCGCGAGGCATTTATTTCGCGTGTAATTTGCTGGCATTAAACGTCAGAGTGGCCTGATTTACCGCGAGAGTGACCGTGGACGAATCGCTACCGGGTCCATGCTCCTCGGTAAAAACGCGAAAGGTCTCGGGGGATGGCGGCCGTATCCACGGGTGCGAAAATCCCCCGAACGCTCGCGCGGCCGGTCAACCGATGATTTAGTGACAAACAGCCCGGCCCGTAAATATCGTCGCGATATGAGGAACGGAAAGAATGCCGCTCCATTATGGGCCGACACTCGTCGGGGCCCGGCCAGGATATACGGCGCGCAGACGAGATGATACGGCGGCTCGCGGTAAGTCCAGCGCCTACGTACCAAAGAGCCCGGGCCTCATTTCTCCGTCCGACTGTAACTCCGGGCCCCTTTGCTCCTTTTGCAGCCGCGGCCCCTCCGAGCCTCCGCGAACCTCCGCTTTCGCGATAAATTTCCCATGGTGGAGGGGCGGAGGGGAGGACCGCGCCATTTTTTACGCCCCAACGCGTCTAATGACCCCTCGTTTCTCATGCCCTGTATAATTGTCGACGGAGGATCGGGGCAACGACGAGGAGTCAACGACAGCACGACGTGCGACGCTACTTTCGTAACCGGGGCAGAGGGAGGGGACGGGTACACGGATCGCGAGGCTCGACGATCAGAATTTTTCCGATTAATTATAGTCACTGTTACTCGCGTGAAACCGCTCGCGTTCTGTTATTATAGCGGCTTGTGGTGCGATGATCGCTGACTCGAGGGTTAGATGAGCGTGGAAGGGGGATGGTCTCGAGAATTCGAGAGAGGTAGAAGCTACGACTGATCGGCGGCGACGTCATTAAGGGACGGGAGATTAATTACGGGGCTCTATAGTGGACACCGTGCTTGCAGAATTTATCGGTCTGAGGGATACGTCGCGAGGAAAACTTCCAACGCGTCTTTTTTCTTTTAGTCGGCCCTTGTATTCTTCGTTTTTTTTTTTTTGTTTCTTCTGTTGGTAATAATTCGATCGCGGGCCGATAAATCGATGGATATTAGATTTAATCTTAAGCTCCCAATGAAGCCCATTCGATTAATTTTTCTCTCGGCTGATCAGATTTTCGACAATGTATTTATTGGCTCGGAATCCGCTCATCCATGTATTCATTATGAATAATTTTTTAATTTTTGTACAGTTAGCCATCGGATTTTATGCTTATAAATCACTCTAACGCACACAAAGCATTTCAATTTTAAGATTTTTAATTTTCTTTTTCTCGAGCGGTCAAGGTATTTCTAGTTGGTAGTAGGTGTAGGATAGTACGCGAGGAATAATACTCGTCGTTTTAGAAGTTTCAAATTTCAGATCTCAAATTTATTATTCCACATAAATTTCTTCTTTCAGTTCGAAAAGTCTTGTATCGAGCACGTATTTCATTTGACGCATAAACCTATTTTTGTAATTGAATTAGGGACAGATAAGACGATTATATTGATTTAATTAACAAACCGAAGGCAGATTTCAAAATATTGCTTTACTTTTTATCCTTTTTATTTATTTATTTATTTTTTTTGTTTTTCTTTTTGTTTTTTTTTTTTTTGCTTTTTCAAAACAGTCGACAAATTGGTTAAGCAGTGGCGAAGAGAGGCTTCGGTGTAATTATCGAATTACAAATAACAAATTATCGAAATTACAATGAATTTACAATAAACTATATAAATTACAAATCTCGAAAAATGAAGGCGACTCGACATTTGGAATGGCAGGTGCATTTGAAAGACTCATAGTTTGAAAATAACGGCGCATTAGCCGTACCTTAATGGTCTCCCTCAATATGTAGGCAATGTGCTCCTCTCTTATTCTCTTGTCGGTTATTCGTAAGCCTTGGACGAGACTGACGACGGGGCCACCCTCGCACAACTATAAAAATAAACAATATAGAGACAGATAAATTAGTTGCAGAATACACAATTATATTTTTCGAATCTATTTGTCAATTAATCCTCCATTTTCCATTCGATTTACGAAGGCTATGCATCCCTCCCAACTCTCCCGCCATCATTATCTCCTTTCACCAGGGCATTCGCATCACCTCCTCTTCATCATATTTCATAATATTACACGATTACATTTCATCAATGGATTAAAAACAATAAGATGCAAACTAATGTACGTCGCGCAAGCTCGTTCCTCGGATTTAAAACGTGTGCCGACACTCGTGCTTGCAATCTTCCATTGACATCAACAATTGAAGCTTTCCGTGCAATTATGCCGCATGCGGAAGTAATCTGTGTCAAGCTATGAGATTAGAATTGAATCGCGGCGTTTTCGACTCGACGACGACACGACCGCGACTCGAGATTGCCCTGTTTCTGCCCAATCTTCCGTCTCTTACTCCACTGCCTTTTCAATTCCTCTCGCTCCCGTGTAATTTTCCGTCTGGCTGCGGGAATTAATTATTATAGCTTGGCGCTCGGGCCATACTTTTTTGATAATCCAATCACCGACTTGCACGCTGCGCTCGCGAGGAAGATCCGTTATTTTTCACGCCATGTTTTCCATGTCATGTTATGTAAGATTATAAGTTCGATTATTCAAAATGGTTTTACAGTCTTATTTTGAGTTAGCTGTAGCCATGTATTTTGTTGCATAAACACGTTTTTGTCCATTTTAGCCGGTTCACTTCGAAGGATATTGACAATAAATTTATAATAGATATCGTTAATCAAATCTCGCACACATATCGGAGCAAAATATTATAAGTCAATATAAAATTAGTAATCGACGGAGGAGTTTGTCATAAAGACTATGCGCACGCCTTAAGTAAACTTATCTAATGTAAGTACGTCGTTAGTGAGAAGGATATAGAAACAGATGTGCGTGTGTGCGTGTGTGTGCGCGTGTGCGCGTGTGTGCGTGCGTGTGTGTGTGTGAGGGAGTGAGAGACAGAGAGACGGACAATGAGAGACAGAAAGAGACGGCGAAGGAGATAAATCCAAGTCCGTTCATGGAGTGGAGTAATAAATTAGTTTCAGAAATCAGTAGCAATTACAAGGTGCTGATAGTGAAAGTGGCGTATGTACTGCCGTAGGCAAATTGTTAACTACGTTGTGCCTATCAACTGCAAAAAGCTGAACAATAAATACAATAAAGCTTCAGTATCCGCGACGTAAAATTAGTTTTGTCAATTTATTAGAGTATTGATTAGGATTATGCATATGAAACTGAGAGCTATTTAATTGACTACCTTATAATATAAATATACAAAGCTTTATCAAATAATTAGATAATTTAATCTTATCATTACCAGCTCCTTCATTTGGATTCTGTTAATTAGAAAAATCATAAATTAAGGAAAGAATTGCAATAGTTGGTGAATTTACGAATGCCAGTCTTACAACTACGTTACACATATATCAATATTAAATTAATGCCAAAATGCTGAAATAAAAGATTTTCAGGCTCCTATGCATTTATGGGACATCGTGGAAAGCTTTCGGATGCAGTTACATGATAACAACAGCAACAACAACGACAACTATAATAGTAATAATACATTATAATGAACATGATTTATAGGCAGTAAATTATGGTTTTACTTTCTATTTTATTAGTATCGAACGGAATTTCAGTTGATTCGAGCATGAGTTTTAAATTTACAAACGACCTGGACTTTTCTATCCAATAAATGCATTTTTATAAAATGATAAACTCTCTCTCTCTCTCTCTCTCTCTCTCTCTCTCTCTCTCTCTCTCTCGGCAAAGCAATTAGCTTATGAAAGTTTGCACAAGCTTGACATGAGCCAAAGCTAGTTAAGCTCGATTAATTGTCTAGTGGGTGAGATGAAGTTGTTACATGGTTAACAGGATTGGTTAAAGCTGCAAATCGAGTAAAAGTTGCCAAAACGAGGTTGCGAGTTTATCATATTCGCAATTATTCACAATGAAAACGTTACGACTGCTCGATAGAGTGCAGATGGATAAAGGCAGGGGCGGATAAAGTGAGAGGATGTATGTGATCGCAGCTTAGATGATGGCGGATCGTAGGCGTGGGCGTCAATCGGCGCGGTAGCCGGGGCGCATAATGTTGCATTTTGTAAGTCAATCGGGGAACGCGCGTTACGACAATGCGCCAGAGATTTATGGCCGGTGATAATTCATGTCGAGCGTTTACGCGCGTGCGTCGACGTGTGCGTGTGCGCGGCCGCGCCATTAATCGCGGTGCCGAGCGGCGAAAGTGTTTGCGGCCAAGCTCATCGTCGCAAGGACTTTATATTATCGCGTTTAGAGACTTGGTGCGATCGAGCGACTCGGCTATTGTGTTGCTCATTTTTTTTTTCCTGTTGACGGTTACTTCTGAATTGATTTGAAATTGCTCGCCGCAGTTGTACTTTCCGAATTCATTGAGTATATCGCCATCGAGGCCATTTCATAGCCGTCGCTTTCGTTTTGTTTTCTTTTTGGCTTTTTAAGTATTGTGTGTTGGTGCGCGAACATGCACTGGCAATTATTATCGATTTTGTTATTTGTAAGATAATTGAGACTGCGTGAATCGCGTTTCATAAACGGGACAAATTATTTATCCAATAATATCGTTATTTGATGTAGGACGACTGGCAAAAGTAACTATTAATTACAAAGAAAATTTCCATTCGCCACTAAATGTAAATAAAACCGCACACCGCTACCCTAGCGTTTATTATATTTCCTTAAATTTACGATCGTTTCTCAAATTTCTATAGCGTTTTGGCTATTTTTATCGTCTGATTCTATCCCTCTTTTATTTCTTAAGCCACCTCAATGAGAAATTTATAAGAGGATTATAAAATTAGCTCCTATTATTCATAAATGAATATATACTCTCTAGAATTTTGAATATTTAGATATATTTATATCTCTGTCAATGCTTGCTGATAACACTTATATATGGTCGTTATCAAAATACGGATATTAAAACATTAAAAAGGATGTAAATTACTTTCTTTTTAATTTCTGTTTCTTCTTTTATGGTTTTTGTTTTTTGTTTTTTTTTGTTTTTTTTGTTTTTTTTTTTGTTTTGTTTGGGTTTAATAATTTAATAGAGCAACGTTGACTGATATAATTGGCTCTATGAGATTATCGTCGACTAAAAATTTTCGATACGCGTAGTACATCGATCGATATAAAAATCAATGAAATATTAGAAGACGATGGAAGCAACTTCTAACGAAAGATTTTATTCCGGCGCAAAGCATTTTTCCCACGCTTAAAGATCGGCGAGAGAGGGGCGGGGGGGAGGAGGGCAAAGTGAAAATGAGAAAGAAGCTGAGATCGCGGGAACTTGACTCATCATGCTAGGCCACGGGATTCCCGCGAAATAAAATGGCGCAATCGCTGTTCGTCGACGGATTAACAATTCTCTTCGTCTCGCCTCAGCTCCCTATCCCCGTTTTTCCTCATCCACACTCAATGAATAATCGAAAGCACTTGCTTGTATCCTCTATGTCTCCATCGTCGCCCCCACGCCGCCCCTACGGCCCTTATAAGCCGAGGCGACCCACCCCGCGAGATAAGTAATAATATTTTGGTGCACCGCGGAGGTCTGCACCGTAAATTAGGCCCGGAGACGTGGCAGCGCGGGTTTCACCTGCGTATATATACCAACGAGTTTAATGATTGTTTAATGGCCGCGTGTGTCATAAATTATTCGTGTATTCGAGCGTCTCAAATGCTTGAAATTGCCTCCGGGCTGCCCCGGGTATTCTCCCTCCTCTCTCTCTCCCTCGGTCTCTCCTTCTTTCGCAAGGGATTCTTCGCGAGGGAGCTAGAGAGAGACAGAGAGAGAGAGAGAGAGAGAGTGCGTGCGTGCGCGTGCGTGTGTGCGTGTGTGTGTGTGTGTGTGATATTGAGAGACGGCGCGCCATAGTGTGGGTGGATTGCGGGAACTCTGTGTTATGGAGGCACGGCGAATGCAGCACCATATGAGTTACGACGTTGTGACGTAGCGCGCGGCGCGCAAGTGCGTTTACGGATATTTTCGCTCGTCGATAGGTGTGTTTGTGCGGCTTTTTAAGCGAGGGCCGACGATAACGATAAATTCGAGACGCGGAACAGAGGGTCGCCGCGGTTTTGTCGCTGCCGTTAACGTCCCTCCGCTCTTTATTATACACAATATACACGCGGACAGCTTAGAGGGAGAGCGGAATAAGCTCACGCGGGACCCTTCGGCCGAGCTTTTATTTGCCGTTGTTGCCGCGCGGGACCGAGTCGCCTGCGTAATATATGAAACGCGCTCTCGGCGCGTGAGAAATTACTGAAAATTGCTCAAACGGTCAGGTGATAAAATAATTTATTGGGGGGATGAAATATTGGGTATTCGCTAGTTTTTCCTTTAAGTTTTACCACATTTTCGACTCTCTCATTCGCCACACGTGACTCGTGACTCACCGATAAAATTACCAATTTATTCCATTGGGTTTGGTTTTATAGCATTGTAATTAGCGTATTTCGTAGGAAGGCAGTTAATTTTTCATTTTCATCTTTCTTAAATTCCTACAAAGTTTTGGGCTTATTCGGCTAGATTCAGCGTTGAAAACTCATAATCCGATGATCGAGGAATTTTTGTAAACGTTATGTACGATGTGACTCGTATGAATAGTGGAAGATATTAAATTTTTGCTCATTATTTTGATGGAGATAAAATTAATTGACATCATTTTTTTTTAAGTCGAGTCTGCTTAGAATGGGAATGACTCACCTCTATCACAAACCAAATTTGATCGTAGTCCGTTTTCTTGCCAGAGCGTCTTCTATAGACTCCATAGAAATCCGGTAAATTCGGGTGGGAAGAGAAGTCTCGTAAGACTCGATATTCTTCAACAATTAGCGGCTGTGTTTCCGGTGTCAATGTTTGGATTTTTATGGCAACTTTCCGACCTTGGAACACGTTAATTAATAATAATATAAATAATTTAAGGTTATGAAGCAATGTATTCGTTGCCCAGAGGAAGGCAATTTTTGCAATTCTATTCACGATTATTTTAATACGATTACACGATACAAATCGGATGCGTCATTAAGATTGTCATTAGAGAATAAAATGAGAAATCAAATTATAGTCGAAATATATAAATTTATCCCGGATGTATGTGCGCACTTACGCATACAAAGGAAATGTCATTATTTTTCAAAACCTCGTTATTCCGTGGCTCAATAGTTCAGTGGATAGAGATAATGTAAGAGCATAAGAAATACAATACAATACGGAATTATTGTCGATGCAATTACAAAAGCAAAACTTTTTATTGTTATTTTGGATCCGCGCCAAGATCTCTTTCTTAATAAGCAATTATTTACTTTGTGCTTCACGTCGAACATTAAAATTCTTCACACACGTAAGATAGGTAAGAAAATAAAAAACGACTGTCCTCGTATAATATTCATTTTCGGTAATCGACGGAGAGGATAGAGAATAGTCGCTTTGAAGGCCCTAGTGCCGCTTTATGCGCCCTCGAAAGGAATTCTTCACACGAAAATTACCCGCTTCCTCGTCGACGGCTTCGTACACGTCGCCGCAGACTCCGCTCCCGATGCAATCTCTCAGTGAGTATCTCTTGCCCGGATCTTGAATGCTGTCGAGCCGTTGGAGTTTCTCTTTACCGTGGCCACCGCCACCACCACCGCTGCTGCTTCTGTCTCTGCTGCGTTCCGGACGGTAATCCTCATCATCGTCCTCCTCTCGGACACCGCGCATCCCGTATTCGCTCATCGCGACTGACTCCCTGCAAAAGACAATTTTCTTCTTAACTCGTAGTTACTTGAGAATGTGGTGCTTTAAGGGACGGTCATAGGTCCTTCTCGAGGATTAGGACATTTTTGGAGCTCGCTTTATTTAAGCGAGTGCTTTATTTTTTATCCCCCCCCCCCCAAATATTAACCTCCAACGCTTTTACTGAAACCACTCTATTCAGTACAAGATTTTTCTTAGAGTATTTATTATTCCGAGTAATCGGGACGTATGACATGCACGTGGCAGTGATATAAATGAATTTGATGATTTTTCAAAATGATTTTCAAGCAATGTTAATTCGCGATCCTGGTGCTCGTACGGAAACTTGACTTCTCTTGCTCTTACGTAACGCTCTAAAGAATTGCTGTGGGAGTTTAACATGAATACGAAATTATACAAGCTGTTAACAAATAATGGCTTTTGTTAAAAAGGCGATTCTTTTTTTAATGACTGTAAATTAAAAAAAAGCATAAATTACTTTTAGTTCAGTATTATGACTGTATGTAATTGTTGTATGGAAGAAAAGGATGACAATAGTAAGGAACCGATTTCAAATTTACTAATTAAAGCCTTTGCTTATTATTAGTTACTAAAGTTGAAAGAGTCTGTTGATTAAAAATTTATCCTCAATTTTCGGTTTGAAATGTTCATTTAAATTTTTTCTAAGTGCAATTTCATTTAAAAAAAAAGTAGATAATCAATGTGAAAATGGTGAAAATTCTTTACACGGTACGTGATGAAATTGAATCAGAATCAATTAAACAAGAATTTTAACGCATAAGATCTATCGTACAATAATATAGATCTGAATCTATGAAAAAAAAAATTTAGTATAAATTATAAATGTAAAGTTCATCGTCTCTATTAGTCTTAGAATTAAGAAAAATTTTAATAATAATACGTTTATTGTATGCATTGGCAGTAGTTATTCTATATATTTGGAAAATTTCAGATGTATTAAGACTTTATAAAACAATTCGTTTACGAAGTATTTACAATTAAAATAATTCGAATGAAAAATTTGATTTTACAAAAGGAAATAAATAATTTTCATTCATTGATTATTTGTGAAATGTAATAAAAATCTATCGCACTTATTCGATATTTTTGGTGATTTGTATAATTACGGTTAATTGTGCTTCTGTATTAATGACAAACAGATCCACATAAAAGTACAGGTGTCAGTTATTTTCATCTCCTTTTGTAGAGTACGAAGTTATGATTTGAACGTCTTGTTTTAATTTTTACAGCTATTTTGAATTTCTTAGAGAGAAAATCAAATAATTAGTGTGTTCTCAGCCATTCCGCGTGCAGAAATCATTTCAACATCACTTATAAAGCAAAAGAAGGCAATTTTTACATTTTAAGCTTATTAATGATAATCAATTCTATTCTAAAATGTTGACAATAAGATGATCACTGTCCTTATAAATTCTAACTTATTATCATAATGTAATTAAGTATAATAAATTAGGTAACATTATATTTATAAATTGATACATTCTAATGCGTAGCGAAACATCTATATCATCTATAAATGTAATAATATGTTATTCGCTAATGACTGGTAAATAAATCAGCTCTTTCAACGAATGTTTTATCGTATAAATTAGTGAAAATCTAATTTCATAGAAAAAGTAATTAGTGTTAATTTGGAGACGAATGAGGAAAATATATGGTATTTAATATTATATATTAAGATAATTTAATATTACCACTGTTTCGAATGTTCATATAACACAGAATATAGATTTGTACTTTTCTGAAGCTATCGTTTTTATAACATATAAATGTTCGAATGGTATAATTTATGATCTATATAATCTATGATATGACACATTTACAAATTAATATCAAGATTATTCTTATTTTTCAGCTGCTATGAAGAAGACAGCAGCAAAAATTGCAGATATTTTCTGGATTTGCGTTAATGTATGTTTCTTATGAATTACATATTCACTAAGTAAGGACTGAGCGATATTCCATGGAATGAAAATACAAAAATAAGTCTATTCTTTATAGTAATATACTGCGTGAAAATCCTTTTTGCCAGTACAAAAGTGATGTAAAGTGGCGATGAAATTTGCAGAATTTGTAATTGCCAAGGTGAGGAAGGTTGCAAGTTTCAATAAGATTTTTTCGATATAAGATCTTATCACGGATATAACTATTACTATCGTAACTAAGCATAAATAATATTATTAAGTAAATAATATAATTAAATTGAAAACATATAGCTGTTATCTGTAAATTTATTTTTCACGATGAACGCTAATAGCATTAAGATGTAGATTAAAATAGATTATACATTTATTCGGTAAATTCAATAATGGTCTGCGTGGCTTTTATTAGAGAGAAGCACAAAATATATTAATTTAATTACAACAACGTCTTTGTAAATTATAAAATGTATTTTTATGATGATACACGAGACGATTTTATTATGAATTTCAGTGGAACAAAATAATTAGATCTTTATGTGTACTTGAAGTTTTACGTTTGAGGTCGAGAGTTCCTTTATTCGCGAGAGGCGAAGATGCGAGAATTTTTTACTCAATATCTCAAGACGAAGTGCTAATTAGCTTTTGCATTAATAGCTAATTAGGTACATCAAATAGGAGCCTCGAAGTGCTTCAAGTGTTATGGAAATAGTAATAATGAATTATAGATGCCCAGACTTCCTTAGTGCACTAACTTGAACACGGGAGAGATGTATGGAAATTGTCAAGCCGTTATATAAAATATTGTATATTAATTTTTCTTAAGATGATAATAGTTTAAAGCAATTAAATGCTTAGCTGCAGCTTTCCAGAAGTAATCGATTATATGTTAATTGTAAACAGTTGGACGAATATTTGAAATATACATATAAAATTTACGTGCTCTTATTTCAATGTTAACTAGACGAAATTTTTAACAACATGAAAACATCAGGGTTCATCGAGGCATTATCAATAGTACAATAATAATCAATCCTTGGCATAGACCCCTCGTAATTTGTTTAAGCACGAGTAATTGTAAAAGCTCGTTGAAATTAATCTTAATACAACCCTTAAATAACTGCAAATAACAATGATAATAATCTAAAATAAGCGATTGGGATTTAATTATTGGCTAGGTTTATTGCATTTTCAATAGATACGGTAAGTTGAAAACTAAAATACGCAATACTGAAGATCGAGTGTCAAATGTTAGAATCATCATTTATCCCGTCGCCTTTCTTGTGAATCTTGTGAAGGATCGCGAACGTCACTTGCGGGTCATCGCTATTCGTCCCTGACCACAAAACTACACACGTAAGCAGTCCGTTTATCGGATTTCCGGAATTACATTTGCCGATGGATGAGCGTGATACGCGAGGTTATTGCCTACATAGAGACATAGCAGTGGTCTGATCGATGTGTGAAAGTTCGCTGGAGCTGTTTCATCTTGGCGGATCCCTGAGCTTCTTTAAGTAGTCAGTTAATAAGCTTCGCACGCGTCTCTTGAAACGGAAAAAGTAGAAAGAATGAGGATACGAAGAGTCTTATAATTGAATTATTATCGTACTGCATTACGATAATTATATCGTATTTGAAATTCAACTTTTTAACTGGATTTTTTTTTTTTTTTTTTTTTTTTTTTTTTTTTTTTTTTTTTTTTATTAACACTTTATGTGCACTCGCTACTGCGTATAACGTATGCGGGGGGTCGTTTCCCGCAGTTAAAGGATGAGTTCGTTAGTGCGAATTTCTATATTCTGATGTGCGAGCATTTTATCGAATTGAATATTTAAGTTATTTCACGTTTGTTTAATCGATCTAATATGTAAATTAATTTGTACTAAAGATTTTCATAATCTTTGTTAGAAATTGCAAATAATAAAAAAAACTTTCGAATAACTTTAGATCCGTCACATTTATTTAATAGTTTTACAATATTAATCGACAATAATAGCGACGCGATTTCAAAAAATTTTCATTTTATAATTATTTAATGTAGAGAAGTTTATTTTTAATATGCTTGAGAGCATTCAAGAAATGATGGTGAATTTATATATATCACGATATGATCATATAATTGATTAATATATTAATTGCTTATTAATTTCTTCCTAAAATGAAAAATTGCTTTTAATATTTAGGCGATATTTAAAAAAATAAAAGTTATTTAACGGACGATATCTTCTTATGTGGATTTCCTTTAACGTCACAATTTTATTACAAACGCTGAATTAATTTGTACGCAATCAACTTTCATTAAAAATAGGAGATACTGAGCAGTGACCGATGTCCTCTGCTTCACAGTTAATACGCAGCCTATCGATTCTGTATGTGTGCACGTGTGTCTACCCACACGTTCCTAGCTTGTTGCGTTTTTATGAGCCGCGCTTGTAAGTACCGTCGGTCTAATGTCGTATAACGAGTTACTTCGGGTGCTCGACCGTTTAAAAAAAAATCCAGTTGGAATCGTTTCTGCCTGACCAGATAAGCGAAGAGTGGATGTTCGTTATTCTCCGATTTTTGGAAATATATGCCAAGTTGACTAGCGATTGATCACGAGTAGCAGATTTATGCTTAAGCTCATTGATATTTAAGATTTTGAATATACTTTTATAATCGAGGAGGATTACATTTAATCAAATCGATCAAATATTTATAATAAAGTCTTTTGTAAATTATGCGTTTCAAGGTTGTTTGTCTACTCAGTCACTGCCATCATGTACAATTGAACTTTATTACAAAATTCGTTCATATATTATGCATAATTGAATATAATCGGGAAAAATTTCTTAATACCTATAAGATGGTGGCTACTAAGAAACAGTCTAACGCTCTCGAAACTACTAGGAAAAGTAGAAATATGTGGAGCCAGCCGGAGAAATAGCCCAACGCATCAAAATAGTATGTTTTCGGAGAAAAGCAAGGAGTTCTTCGGATTGTCGCGACCAAGGGATCGATGAAGATAATAATCAATTTCTTCATCATCCTCCTGTTTAA